GTAACTCAAGCGTTGAACAAAACGCGGAGGGGATAGCTGCGCATGCGTACCACTGTGGAGCCCATCGGCGAACTCATGCACGCCCACCCGCGTACCTCGTTTCCCCCCAAGAAATCTTAATTTTTACTTAAATATTTTTTTTACTGTGCAATAACGGTCAGCGCTAGAATTTCATGCCGCATAGATTAATAGTAAGATCATTTACTCCACCGAGTCCGCGAGTCATACTCGTAGTCACCCAAACAATGGAATGTTAGGGTCAAATGTCTGGATCCGGCCGTTACCGCACCCACAGTGAAAGACTGCATTGTTGATGCACTGTGGGTGCGACCGGGTAATACAGATTCCTTTTGTTACACTGTTCTCTACTGACCCTTCTTATTGGTTCATGCAAACATACATAAATTTACTCCTTTTTTCATTCCATTATCTTTTTTGGCTTTGGCACTCTAATGTGTGCTGGCATAGGTACTTAAATGAAATGAAAAAATAAAATAATTTTGATTGAGCATTATGCAGTGCGGCGTAAGGATGAAAGTGCAACGACGTCTGCACTTGTTTACAACTTATGCGCGTTACCTGAGTATAAGTAGGTACTACGCAAACGCGGGTGCTAGTTAACTCCCAATTTAACTGGACTTTTTTACAATGCGTCGATTGGCGTATAGGCGCGATCGGTGCCGCGCAACGGACAGTTGAGTTTCAACAGCGATTTCGGAACGAATACAAAGGCGATCAAAGTGCAAATAAAGTGTTCAAGTGCGATTGTTGGAAGACTTGTTTACTGAAGTACAATGTTTGTGAGTGTATTGTGATTAACATTGTGTATTAACTGTATGATGAAGAAAGTACTGTCAAGCGTGAACTGGTATATAATTTCGAACCCCATCCCGACACGTAACAATACATTAAAACATCGGGGATTGCGATGTTTAAATTGATGATTATTATAACTTAGAACATATACCAAAAGAATTATACGTACACACTGGCTTTTCAAATAGTGGTGTCGATTCTGACATGATTCTCTGAGCCTGAACTTAAATTTGACAACAGTGTATCCTTGTCATTCTCTATACAGAATGAAAAAGAGAGACTGATGTTAAATTTAGTATTTTTTGAGAATCCCGCCAGAATCGACAGCGCTATTTGAAAAGCTTGGAAAAAATCAACGCCACGCCCGCCAAGGCAAACAACTTTTCCTAATTCGCAAAAGCTACAATCGCACAACGGCTTCTTTTAATCAAAAATTTAGAACTACGAATGCATGGGATGCGGTATTACATGTAATGTACCTACTGACATCACCTCAGGCCTAGCGAGCGATGCTGAATAGGCTAGTTGACCCTTTTTGGAAAAAGGTTTTAAATGGTTAATAAATGTTCTATTACACCGAAAAAAAATGTATTGTATTTTTTTGAGACCTAGAAAGCTACAAATCTTTAATTTTAAAATAGAATTTTCATGGACATACAAAAACGCTGTCGGCCATTTTAGTCTATAGATTGTCTATGCTATGATGTCAACTGTAGTAAACAAAAACTCGTAAGCACGTAGAAAATAACATCTGAGTTTATAATAAAAAGAACATGATTTCTAATAAATACCACGAAAAATTAAGTAATTATCACTATTGTATTGTACGAGAATATAAAAACACATCCTTGAAGACTCCAGGAATGTTGTGGATTAAAGTGCCGAAAGAAATTAACCTACGCAACTTTATTACACTTATTCATATGTTGTATCAGTTTTATGTTTATTACTACATTGTAATACTAAATGCACTGTACTTACATACTTAGATGCCTTGTCGTGCAAAAAATTCACCAACCATCAATGCGTCAATTCATTGCAGATTTGTGCTTTATGCTTTCACAAAGCCGGCATCCATAATTAGTTTTGTCAAAAAAAACAGTAAATGGAAACTTTTCTAAAGTTAAAAGTGTTTTAAGATAAATTTATTCAGACTAAAGGATCCACCCACAATAACACGCGAATGACATTTAGTTGTTTACTACAACAAGAGACGTCACAATCATGGCAGATGTGGCAAACAGCGTTTTTAGTGTTCAAAAAATATAGACTAAAAAATATTTTTTTAAAATTAAATTTCTACAGCAATCTTTTCCTTTTTGAAATGAAATCGATATATTTAGGTTCCTTAGACCAAATACTTTAAGAAATAAACGTTTATTTAATACATTTCGACATGAGTCAACTAGCCTATTATGTAGCGGGCACGTTGTGACCTCCGCTCGAACTCAGCTCTCCTGGTAGCGAATTGATGCATAATACAAGACTCCTGTATGCCTCTCCATCCCTAACAAAATAAATATCCCCCTAAAATGTACATATTAAATATGAACGTTCAACATGTTGAGTTAGATACCAGAATTTTTTAAATGTTCCTTATTATATTACCTTTTTGACGACTTCCATCCATGGACCTACACAGAGGTCCTGGGTTTTATTTAAAAGTACACCTTTTCATACGTTTTCAGGTACTGAGCTGATCCCCAAGGAAATCATTGCTTTATGAAAGCGAGCCAATTTATACTTCTGAATAATTAAACTACCGTACAGTTCTGTTTGTTTGCCAACACAAATCGTTCACAAAGTTATTGTAGAGGCATCTAATTATAAATTTTAACCGGGAATTCTAATACTTCCTTAGAGCATTTATAAAATCTCTAAGAATAATTTAGATATATTAACAATTCAATGTAGTTACTGTAAAATCAATATTTATTTTACAATTTGGGGTAAAGGGCACAATCAGCGAGATTGAGAATCCCTATGATATGCGCAAGATTATTAATTTAATTGTAAAGTGAATGCAGGAGTATTTGCCTGTGGTTTTTGTGGGTAGGGAGTTTCATTATTCTGAGGATAAGTCCCCGCTATTTCAACGAGCACTTCAACTGGGAGAAATGAGTGAAGAGGAATTCTCACATAGGAAATCAGGCTATTTGACAAGTTTTTGAAAACGTTCAAACGTAATTTATTAGTGTAATCATTTCTTTGGTGTACAGTAGGCGTGATTCTCTAAACTCAAAACTAAATTTAAGACCCTCTCCTTTTCACTCTGTGTAGAGAATGACAAAGATAAACTTACTGTCAAAGGACAATGGGCAAAATTGCATGGACACTGCACCCACGTCCGCCACGGCTTAAACTACATTTGTTTGAAAGGTATCATAGTCATGATCATTTGTGCCAAAGCGCATCAAATTCCATCCCGGGAGTCTTTAGTTATTTTAAGTTAAATAGGTACAATTCCATAGGTAAAAGTAACTATAACGAACATAATATTTAAAGATACAAGGACGAGTATATAGAACGGATATATTAATTGACGACCACGGAGGTCGTCAATTAATTTATCCGAGTCGAGTGGTTTGTACGCCGGGTTTCATGGTGTCGCTGGCTCGAGAGGTCCCGGGTTCGAATCCTGGTGGGGGCAGATGTTTGTGTGCTGAGTACGAGCATTTAAATTGATCCATAGATTTTTTATTAGCTCGTACGATTATAATGACGTACGCGATGATAATCGTGTTCCTATTTCTAAAGCGTGTTAGTTAAATATCAATGAAATAACAGGGAGCGCACAAAATGTAAGACATAGGACTGCATACGAGTAGACTAGTTGCAACGGCAACTGCAATATCACATCCTTCAACCCCCATACCCTGTTAGACGTTTTGAGGAGTCTCAGTAAGTGCAAGCAGCAAGCAAGCAGGATAGTCGGTAGGCTTTGTTGTTTAGTATTTTGTATCTGGTTGTACAGTAAGATATGATTCACTCACTTATTATTGCTAATATTATAAAACGAAAGTACTATTGATATTGAATGAATTTCTTTAGCTATTTAAATATCATCATCATCAGCCTATTAATGTCCCCACTGCTGGGGCACAGGCCTTCCCTATGGATGAAATAGGGAGATTGGGCCATGACCCACCACGCGGGCCCAGTGCGGATTGGCGGGTGCTAACGACTGCAGATGCAGCCGGGACCAACGGCTTAACGTGCCTTCCGAAGCACGGAGGAACTCGAGATAGATGTTTTTGGTCACCCATCCAATGACCGACCACTGCGGAAGTTGCTTAACTTCAACGATCGCAACCGAACGCGCTAACCACATGCGCCATCGAGCTTCTCTATAAGGAGCTATTTAAATATGCCCGTGTGTAACCGGTCCCCATGACTTACACACAAAGGTCGTCTATAAGGACTATGTGCGGAAACCTTAACCCCTAATATAGAACATACCCAGGTGTATATCTTTTGACCCCCAGGTTATTTTTTTTGGTGCCATAATAAAAAAGGTTAGTTTTTCAAAGATCTATCGATTCATACTAATTACATTGTTGGCGGAGCTGGGTGCGTTTTGCCCATTGTCCTTTATTTTAGATTCAGAGAATCACGCCAGAATCGACACCAGTGACTCCATAAAATGTAATGGATACCTCTTTAAATCAGTAAAAAAAACTAAACAATCTGTTTTAAATATGCCGCGAAAACGTTCCTCTAGCAAATATGGCGACTTACAGGCAGTCACACGGCTCTCATTTAAACGTCCACCACCAGTACAGAGTAATGTCACTTGTACAGCATGTTCACAAGCAGGTAGCGTCATTTTAGGCTCCGCTAATCCTAGGCCGTTTCGGTCACGTGGCAATGAATAAAAAAATACTTTTCTATTTCATGATTTTTAGTAATAATGGTATCGATTCTGGCGTGATTCTCTAAACTTAAAACTAAATTTAACATCAGTCTCTCCTTTTCATTCTGTGTAGAGAATGACAGGGATGCACTGTTGTCAATTTTAAGTTTAGCTTCAGAGAATCATGCCAGAATCGACATCATTATCAACTTATTTTGTCAGAATAGTGAAATCGCTTCCAATATTTATGTTAAACACACATGCCAACAATTGATATGTACTATATTATTCATAGTGTCAAAAAGCCTATTAAAGCTGTGTTTTTGGGCAGTGGTCGCAGTCTCCGGTCAGCGTGGCGGGAGGCGCGGCCGACGGACCCCCGGAAGGGTTCCGTAGGGCGGCCCGAGGGTCGTTCTCCGCCATCTTGGACCTTTTAACAGCAACAGCCAATGTCGATCATCATCAGGTAGGTACTCATGAAGTCGTTTAGTATTTGAAGTGAAGTCAATTTTTGTACATTATTGTATTTTTTATTTTATGCATTTAACTGTTAGATTATAATCTATATCTATAATAATTGATAATTATCCGCAACTTCCGCAATCTATTTGTCTAGTTTTTAATAAAAAAATAAGTGCCGTGCAGTTGTTAGCACCCGCCAATCCGCACTGGGCCCGCGTGGTGGGTCATGGCCCAATCACCCTATTCCATTCATAGGGAAGGCCTGGGCCCCAGCAGTGGGGACATTGATTGGCTAATGATGATGATGATGGTGGCAACATTGATTGACTTTGGCGAAAAGTAGGTCATATTTTCTGGCATTACAAACTATTGTGTGTATTTTTAGCTTCACATAATGTGTGAGAAGTCTTTAAAAAAGATATGTTTTTGCGGGCTTAGGATAGTTATAGAAGTCAATTGCGCATAACGGTGCAAATAGAGGTTAGTTTGCTTAATGACATCCCAACTAACAAGCTTCTGAAAAAAATGCAGCTTTCTTTAAAGCTCCAATGTCTATATTGGTTGCATAATGGAGCTAGGATTAGGCACAAGTTCGAAAATAGCTGAAATTATAGGTCATGGCTGCAGCAGAGTCCTAAGTTTTTTTGGTGACACCTTATAGCACCATTAACTGCTCAGTACGTAGTAAGAGTCATAGTAGGTAGGAGCTCGATGGCCCAGGTGGCTAACGCGTTCGGCAGCGATCGTCGAAGTTAAGCAACAGTCGCAATGCTCGGTCATTGGATGGATGACCAAAAATCTTCTTTCTCGAGCTTCCTCCTTGCTTCAGAAGGCACGTTAAGCCGTTGGTCCCGGCTGCATCTGCAGTCGTAAGCACCCGCTAATCCGCACTGGGCTCGCGTGGTGGAGGGAAGGCCTGTGCCCCAGCAGTGGGGACATTAATAGGCTGATAATGATGAGGTAGTAAGATTTGTATCTTCTTTGCTAGTTTGAGACGCATAAGGATTCGCATGGCATTTTAGACTACCTTTGACTACATTAAGAGTTATAACTGCATATTTATAGGCCCTTTTAGTTGCATTACGTCCCCGCATGGAATACTCTACCACGTACCTCTGCATACGATAGCAAATAGTGTCTAATTTACTTCTTACGGTTTCCATATTGAGTGTGAGGAAAAAAATTGCGCTCGTAAAATCACATTTTTAATATAACTACCAACTCTATAGTCTGCAATGCTTCACGTTAGGAAATAATAGCTTTTCAATACACGTTTTGTTTTACTTTATGTTATATGTATTTTTGCATTTTATGTGTATGTTATGTGCTTTCAACAATAAAAACAATTTTCTTTCTTTCAAAATTAACCCTCAGTTTTATCGCTGCAGATTCAAACAATGTTCATACATTGGTATTTTAGTACCAAAGTTACTCCCCTAAAAGGTTTTAAACTCTTAGTTTAATTGTTTGAAAGCCGGTGCTTATATGTAACATCCAATCGAGTTACTGCCTTTTCCGGAGAACGGTCAACTTTAGGATTGAGAAACTATTAAAGGTACTATCACGGAATTTTGCGCTCTGTCACTTGGCGAACAAAATGCTTTGAACGGTTTTCTACAGTAGTTTTTACTACGCTCCGCCTTCAGCCGCCAGAGAGCATTTCATTGATTGAATAATGAATTGAATTGCATTTGTTTTAGTTGCAATTTGTCATCCGCATCGTGATCGCGACAGCGCTATACGAAAAAGTAAGACAGCGATAATTACATGTCTATGAATGAATTTTTACTACGCCGCTACCGCAAGCGATTATGGCATTATGGGTGACAGAGCAGGTCTTTCCGCGAGTGTACCTACAACTAACAGACTATCTACTACTCACTTCATATTGGATTCTCAAGCTTTGCTTAGTTAACAAAATATCCATACATATTTGCTTTGCCCCGTTTGCGGGACAATTTACTTCGTAAAAAAAGAACCAGTTAAAAATCCAAGCAGGCCTTAATTCCTGTATGAATGAATTGAGAACCAGTTAGAAATCCAAACAAACCTTAATTAGTCGCTCATACTATATCTTCCTACATTATGATATAACCAAAGTTTCTGTGATACAGCGTTTAATTTAAATTCAACAGCCACAAATGGGTTGCGTTAACAATTCATGATCATACGGCCTTCATTGTCACAGAATCCCTTATAAACTATGATACGATGGTTATTATTTCCGCACGTGGGCCCGAAATGTTATGTATCTGTATATTGAAATAAGTAGGTACCTAAGTTTTAGCGAAATGCTAGGCCTTTTTAACCAACTTTTTAAAGGAGGAAGTTCTCAATAGGGTATTTGACAGTATTAAAAATAAAGTGCCAATTGTTAGCATCTGTATTTAGAACCAATATTGGCAGGAGTTTTTACTATTTTTACAGAAAAATATTCATAATTTTACTAAAAACCCTCGATTATCTTTAATAATAGTTTTCTTGTCTTTTGTCACGTGACCCAAAACGCTTGGGATTGGTGGAGCCTAAAATGACGTCACACGCAAGTAAATTTCCGGTTAAAGTGACATTAGATTGTATGGTTTGACGTTTTAATAACAGTCATGTGACGTCACATACCAGTGAGACGCCATATTGTCCAGAGATACGTTTTTCACGGCAACTTGAAAATAGAGTTTTTGAATTAGTTTTTTTACCGAAATACACAGCATAATGATAAATATCTCTCTCGACTCTATAAACATTAGTAAATAACGTGAGATCGTTTTGTAAAACTTGTCAAATACCCTATTCCGTCGGTATGTTTTTTTATGTACGATGTATGATTTGGCTGAAATTTAGTACCATATAATATATTAATTTATTACCTGGATTGAGACATAGGATACATTTAATCAGATTTAATCCCGGCAAATGTTAGGTTCCTGAGGAATACATAAAGCTTTGGATTACTGAACAAAAGGTTTGTTTTTTTCTATAATCTATTTATTCTATTATTTGTTCTCTTATCTGAGCATAAAGGGCTTAAGAAAATTGAATATTTGATAAATCAGAATCATTATTCAAGTTCGTATAAACAGAAAGTAACTACATTATCATGTAGGTAAAAACGAAAATTTAGGTTTCCTTTTATCCCGTGACCTTTGCAGACAATAAGTCCAGGAAAACTTCTGATCGATTTTCTGTAGGTGAGGCATTATATTTTGTACCAACTCGTTTACTACTTATATTATTATGAATACCTAACAATTTGATTACACCTAGATTATAAGTTCCTTAATAAGCTTAAGCTTTAATGCCTGTAAATTGAAATATATATGAATAGTGAGTAAATTTTTATCATGTTTTTAGTTTAAATACCAGGCCGCTCAGAAAGTTTTGCGACAAAAATGTTATCATGCATAAAACACTGGTCACTTATATTTATTTTGAAAACTTCGATTATTAAAAAGTAAAAATACCACTGTTCGATTTTCAAATTACCCTCCGCATTTTTTCGAGAGCCAATTAAATTAATCTTGTCTCATTAAAAATTGGATCTGTATCGAGAACATTTTCGTGCTATGATTTTTTACGATTTTCAATGTGGCTTAAACCTGAAAGTAGAACCAACCAAAAAAATGAACCAACGCCTACGAAAGTGAAGCGATCGAGGAGCGCAGGGAAATATTTGATCGCTGGTTTCTCCACTTTGACGGGGTACCTAATTTCAATTCCACTTCAAAACCAAAGCAGCATCTACGCCGAATGGTATAGCAAAAAATGCCTGCCACAAGTTTTTTCTGCAATGAGCAACGAGCGACCTAACACCGGGCTCCGGGGGGTCCTCCTTCACCACGACAAGCGCCCGCGCACTCTGCGATCAAAACGAAGGAACCACACCAGTCAGAGGGACACCCTTCTTCCTGTCCTGATTTGACTCCGTGAGACTTCTTTTTTTTCCCTAAAATAAAAAATCAGCTCAAAGGGATATAGTTTTCATCGCCGGAAGAAGCGCTAGCAGCGTTTGAGAAGGCCGTGGAAGAGATGTCTGCAGAGGACTGAAAAAAATGTTTTGGAAATTGGTTCAGACGCATGAAACTTTGTATAGAAGCTGGTGGAGAGTTCTTTGAAAAGATTTAATAAAAATATTTTTTTCGTTAAATAAGTAGTTAGTAAGTTACTTAATCCCCTCGCTTTTCTCGTAGCTTGAGCAAACTAAATAAAATAAAAAATGAAAGCTGATAAGTATCTTTGGCTCGTTCATGTCACTAAAAAAATGTCCAGTTTCAGGTTGGTTCCAGGACGATTCGAAAGAGCTTTCAAAAATTCAATTTGATTATAGTTTGTTTTCATTTTATATCCTATCCACTCGTGTAGTTTACATTCCAGCCACACTGTAATGACGTCCGAAGTTATGTGGGTTATCTTGTCTCCGACTATTTGCAATGTAGAAGCACTTTCTGTTTATTAGGGGGCGCTAAAAGGAAAACTCTGTATTTGGCTTATGAGCGTATGGGGATTGCGACTTTTTGGCATTTATATCGACTGCGATGCGTCCACTGTAAACTGTCGCAGCAGCTTTGTCACGTAAACATAATGAACCCCCCCGGCACAATATTATAAATCTAACAGTCGGCCACGATCACGACTGGCCGTAAAGCAGTCACTGCGCTAGTCGTTCCTTTATTTCATTAATATATAAATCTGTATCAAAACTCATTATAAAAAGAACTCGTATTGAATTGCGGAACGACACGAAGCGTGTTCACTCATGGACTATCCATATGAGACCGAGAATGGCTGGTCGCGGCCAGGCCACATCCGCAGTCGCAGATCTAGTGCGCGAGCGCTAATAGCAAACTATACGTAAGTTGGCCAAAACAACCAGTCGTGTCGGCCCGAAGTGCGACCAGTTGGAAAATTTGCAAGATTTTGGCTAAGAATCTTACTTCAATCTGGTCGGCTTCATTAAATTTTTATTCAGTAATGCAACAACGTTAGACACCTTTATATTTACGGATTTTATCGTTTTCCAGGATCATTCTGACGGGTCAACAACTCCCCGTGACAAATCCGGGGGCCATTCTCCAGCAGCTAATGACGGTAGGTGTCAGATCCTCATGGAATTGAGATGAGAACTACTTTGTGGCTGACAGACAGCAGCGGCCTACGGCTAGCCGCAGAGATCACGCGCCTTCATGTAGGGCAGTATTTTAAAATCTGACGCCCCGGGCCACTTTCTATAACAGTGGTACTGCTGGTCAACTTAGCTGTGCGATGAATTAATAGTTAATTGTACCGGGCTATGCCACCTGTACTAGGGGCCGCAGTACAGGTGACTTGGCCCGGTTGACCACGGTTAAAAATTTGTACAGTTCTGTTATCGAAAGTAGCGCGGGGCGCCAGATTTTAAAATACCTACGCCCGTGCATGAAGGCTTACGGGCAATGCACGTGAAATTCCACCTCTGCCATTCCATTCTTTCAAAATCTGCCTAACGAATAGTTGATACAGGGGGTCTGTTTGCTTCCCACTGAGCACCCCTGCTGTTGATTCTTTCTGATCTCTAGCTTAATTAACGGTGTTACGTAAACTTTGATTTTACGAAGGCTGGTGGTGATCTTCAGGCAATCAGGATACTATGTTTTTCCCTAGAAATGTTATGTAACCTCCTGCCCCCCTAGCATGAGCACCGCAAAGTGATATGTAACGCGTTTTTATCACGTTTTTTCACAATGAACACCGTCTGCATGCATGACAAAGTGTCACGTTCCGCCTGAGTCTGAGCGAGCAAACGAGAGCGCGGAACAAGCAATAGAGGCCCGATCGGCCCCAGCGTCGGCTTGTACACATTTATCTCTCTTCTCGCGTGACGTCAGAGCAAGCAATTTTTCATCGATGTTACTTTATGACGTTATCACGTAAAACTATCGTCCGTAAACACTAAACGTAAACTTTACAGATTACCAATTTTATTTATATTCCAAGGTGAAGACGCAGTGAGCGAGCGGTGATGGTCGGCCAGCACACTGCTGGATCGGTTGGCACAACGTGGTTTCGCCGCAGACACTAGACTAGCACTGCCACCGACGGGTAAGATCGTGTCGTAATGTAGGTGTGGACCATAGGCCCTATATTCCCGGTCGCCCCCGCAGTTATTGCTACTGAGAAGTATGAGAATAAAAAATCTGAAGTGGGGGCAATGACTTCATTCCATGGAGTTTGAAGAAACCGGCATGAGCCAGTTTGGTTTCTATCTTTAAAAATTCAAGTAGTTTTAGTACGAGAGGATCAAATATTTAAATTTCTTTAAAAAAAAATTGTGACGTGACGTGGCGTCACTAAGCGCTTTCTATCGGCTCTACCACGGCTAGTGTTCTGAGGAGTTATTCTCTCTTATTCCACCTTCCCCTTTCCTTCAGAGAACCACTCGCATCGATCTTCGTTGTTACCGTCAACTGTAGCCACAATTCCAACGCCTACAAAGATTGATGACTTTGTCGCTCTATCCGTAAAATCTGTCCGCTCACGTGTTCCCTCCTTATAATCTGGCATTCTTTAAGAGGCGTGAAAAAACAACATGCAGACCGGCAAGGTGAGAATGACTGGTGTGGCAGTTAGAACTGTTGTACCAGCAATCTTCACGTCTTGACTTCACCGTCACTTAACATCAGGTGTGGTGGACTCATTTGTAGGACCAATCTGTTTAAAAAAATCCGACTGGGCGACTAGGAATAATAGCCACGGGCAGAAAAAGCAGTTGGGTTGTCTAGCCTTAATAATGCAGTGGTCTTTACTGAATGCCAACCACAGATCACATTTATCGCTGCTAATGTTCTTCCTCGGTCCGCTTTCTGACCGTTGGCTGCCTATCGTTCAACTCATTTTAAAATTAATACCTAGGTTATACCACATGACATGAGGAAAGATATGTATACTATTATAGTTACCAACAACATCATCTTATTAAATGTCCCCACTGCTGGGGCACAAGCCACGCCTATTGATGGTATAGAGAATGAGCCGACAGGCCTAATGCCGATTGGTGGTTGCTAACGAATGCAGATGTAGCCGGGACCTACGGCTTAAAATTAATGTCCCCCCCCCCCCCCCCCCCCCCACTGCTGAGGCACAATCCACGCTAATGGGCCTACCACACGCACGAGTTTCACCACAGTTTTGCCTGCGCAGGCTGGTTTGTACACGGAACACGGTGCGTGTAGTTGATAAAACTGTATCACGCGCCAACCCCACAGCGCGGCCTGCGCACTTTTCGACTTGCTTGAAATTTTGCCTGCGCAAGCCCGGCCTGAGCGTACTTGTCTGTGTGTGTGGTTGGGCATTCAGTGTTCAAGCCACAGTCGAGTGTACTTTGTGTCGAGGCTCGCTCGTCGTGTCATGAAGTCGTTCGTCATCGTCACTCAAAAATGGCAAATTTGCGTACGTTAAACCTTAAAGTAGCGGTCAGTCTTTCATGAGGTGATATGCTTTCACGCATGACCGTATTTTGCCCTTGAATGAGAGGCGTAACCAAACGTAACAATTCACCATAAGTATTTTCATCCACCCGTATATAATTACGAAAATCGTTTGGATCATCTCTTAAATCCTTAATTAGATTAATATGTGTATCAATTTTTCTATTCAGCAGCCATTTTTTTGTCCACTTTTATCGCTTTAATTTTGACTTTTGCGTTGTCTTTTTTTTAATAGCAAACACTTGAAAAATAGTAGCCTCAGAAATATTTCTTCATTAGGAAACATTGTTTCCACGCCAATGATTTCGATAAGAATGAGGCTTGCGCGTACTTAACTGTGCCGTGTTGTAACGCACAAAGTGTACAGTTTTTTCGTGCGAGATGCTTGCGCAGGCCAAACTGTGGTGAAGCTTGTGCGTGTAGTAAGCGCATAATGCATGGTATAGATAGAGGTGAGCCAACCCACCAAGCAGGTCCAATGCTAATTGGTGGTTGCTAAAAATAGATGTAGCCGGGACCTACGGCTTAACGTGCTTTCCGAAACACAGAGGATATCAAATCTGCTCGATTAATAAATGCAAAAAAGATTTTTACTAGAAAAAATCTGCTCGACGAAGGTTTCAGGCAGGACTCGTAGAAGATGCAGTTATACTATTCGAGTCTGCCTGAAACCTTGACAGTAGGTCTTTTTCTTGTCGTTTTGTAGCGAGTCATCCTCTCCAAAATTACTTGACCACTTGACCACCGCCTTATATAATTTGAAGGCTAACCGCTCCGCTACTGCACAATGCGCCAGCATGTACGTATCGTCTTTGAGCACGCGCAGTGCGTGTGATGACGATGATGATTCGTATTTGGACTCTACTTTGAATAAAGAAATGTTGACTTCTAGGATGCGCTCGGTACCGCGAGCTGTGCTACCGCGCGGCGCACGCGCACCTGCCAGATGATGCAGCGCCGCGCCCCTGCGACTGCACCAACTGCGCCGCGCGCCGGGCCTCTGCGCCGGAGCCCTGAAACCTGTCGGCCGTTCGTCCCACCTCGGCCTTCCACCGCCCGCTACCATCGCTACCGGAATGGATGAGACGAACTTAGCAACACTATGCTCAACAACCCCCTCCACTATTAATAAACGAAGAATACGCTAGGATTAGTAACTCCATGTTTTGTCTCTGTTCACGAATGACACGGCATTTGAGAAATATGAACAAAACACGGCGTAACTAGTCTAAGCTTATTCCTCATTTATAAATAAGGGGGCTCGAGCTCAAACCAAAGACAACAAAGCCTGCGCATTAGCCATTTTACTGACAAAAACATCTGCTGCGTAAGTTTCTTTGTCTGGCTATCAAGAAGTTTGCAGCTGTTAATAACCTACATAAATAAAACTAGTGCTCGTGTATACCTTCTCACTCAGTATAAAATAGCATTCCGTAGTTTACAGTCTCCGCCACGCGAAGAAAATCCTCGTGCATTTTTCCTATATCGCCCTGTTTATTACCTATCTACATGCATCAAGGCAAACATATAATCTCGGCGTCATTCTTCATGTCGAGAATGCGCTCCAGTTCTATAGACCGCACTCGGCGAAGTCTTTCTTTGCGATAACAAATGAATGAGACAAACACGAGAGCCTAATGAAGCATTAAATAAATTACTTTTCCGCGTATGGCTGTTGGTCTACTCATACATTCCATTATCATCATGAAAATTATACGTGAATATTTTTCGTTCGGTGGTAACAGCGGCTGACCCGTGATGGTCACTACAGAGATGCATCTGTGAAACTGCTAACGGCCGCATTCATGGACGCTTCATTTAATACGACAATGGTGTCGATTCTAGCATGATTCTCTAAAGCTAAACTTAAATTTGACAAGTGTATCCTTGTCATTCTCTATACAGAATGAAATGGAGAGACTGATGTTAAATTTAGTTTTAAGTTCAGAGAATCGTGTCAGAATCGGCACCAATGTCACATCTTTGTAATAGCAATAGTCGGCCTCATTAATAAACATACAACGTCACATTGAAATGACGTCCAGAGTGCAACCGTTAGATTTGTAGTCTTCTGAAGGTTCAATTGTTAATTTACCTGTGGCCTAGTTATTAGTGTGTAAAGCAGTCAATTCTTAAACACTTGTCTACGTCCTTCCCCTTCCTTGTGCCTTAGAAATTTCATATTGTATAATCTTATGCGCAATTTACGACTTAAAGAACCCTACGTAGTTTATTTAATGTAGAATTTTACTATGTACCTAATCATTCTAACAATGTTTGACTCAATTTTAGATTATCAGTCTCAATTTCGATATGTAAATTGCTCATCCGATATCGCTTTTATAATTAAGGAATTACGCCAAACGATTGTAAATTTAATTAAGTGCGATTAATGTCCGTTGCTATTATAAGTGTGAAAACTAACTAATATTAAATAACAAAGAAATAATGTAAAATTTGAATTTACACAAATTTATTTAGATACATAAGAATTTTCCGTAAAGCTAGTTTTTAAAGATCACGTTTTAATAACATAAATTCTAATAAGCCAAACTTAGATATTAATGCATTAATTGGTTAAATTATCTCTACTGTCCAGTATTTGATATGGCTAAGCTAATAATTATTCCTGTCTGCTAAATATAAAAACTCTTAATTTTAAAGCCTAATATTAAACATAGATACTAAATATCTAGAATAATTTGTATATTTGTGACCTAACATTAACAACCGTCTAACGTTTAAATGTTTTTAAAATTTAATTCGATCTATTATTAAGAACATGTACATTAAAATCTATTTGATATTATACATCTTTGATATTTAAAGTAATTAAAATAATTAAATTTTCATTACATAAAATATAGCTTTGATTAGTTTTGATTGTGCTTAGCCGACATCATAAGATTTAAATGGTACATTATTTATATTGTATGTATATTTAAAAAGTCCTATCTACTTCCGCTACAAAATGTAATTCAAAATGATTAGTAATAAATAAGTTTCATTATAAAAATAGTTTTTTTAGACCACTATGTATACGTGTTATAAACTAATCCTACTATGAACTATGTAACTAGGGGAAATCAAACCTAGCGCCATCTAGATTTTAACAGAGAATTCAAATAAAACTTGAAGTAATTAGTACTTTTATTCAAAGTAAACAAAAATACAAGAGTCAAAATTAGGACTTCAGAATTTCTCGGAAAGTTACAAAAGTAGTTAAAACAATTTAATAGAATCTTTATCGTAGCAGACATTACAAACCTGCACAATCATTCAATCATACATAAATGATTTTGAACAAAAATTAACATTTTGACAGTATACTTTTTACCCTAAATGCATAAAATTGGGATTAAGAAATAAAAAAAAAACTAAATCATTTTTTACATGATTACAAAAGTAAAATTACATAATACGTAAGCATATTGGGGTACTCGTCAAAAGCATAGAAGGATGTCTGCAAAATTATTACAATTTAATATGATTTGAGAAAAAAAAATGTGAACATGTTATAATTTGCATTTCTTTTATTTAATAATGGGCATCCAATCCCAAAAAAAAACAGATTATTTTCATTAAAAACTTCTTACAAAAAGAATAAATTGTTGTTTTGACTCTCTTTTTCCAACATAGTCGTAAAATATGGAACGATCCGTAATCGTTATTACCTAGATATTCAATAATTTGTATAAAAATATGCAACTTTTAGAATTGTAAGTTCATCTTAAATTTTCATCCTAACAAGCTTACAGTATCTAGTTAAAATTCATAAATTGTGAGCCGATATCTGCATCAAAATTAAAATGGGTAGCACAGTAACATGCGAGGAATATTATAGTAAGTTTTAAATAATGCTTTTGCAAGCGCAAGTCTATTTACAAAGTGAAATATTTGAAACAACAGCATATTCATAAAAGAATCTTTGTTACAACTGATAATTTCCGTTTAAAAAAATGGAGAAACAAAAGTCCGCATCTACACAAATATGTCCAAAAAGAAAAACCTATTCTAACCTAAACAATAAAATCAAGGAAAACCATCTTCTAAGAAGTCCTCGGAGTTCACGCGCGCATTAAGAAAACATGCTGAGGTAGAACCAATAACACCGGAGGTAAATGCAATGTACTTACTTACTGATTCAGTAAATGTCTAGTCATCTAAAATAATTACTACAAAAATGCGAACTTAACATGAGGCACTTCTTATAAGCGGATTTTCAATTAAAACCATTTACAAACTTCGTGATTGCGTTCGTAAGAAAGATACAATATGTTACAGTATACCTACAGCTCGACGTACCTAACCTTATGGTTTCTTATGCGAGTATCAAGTCAAAATTAATGATGAAGTCAATTCCTAGCAAGAGAACCCTAAGTTGGAAAGTATTGAAAGTACGGTTCAAAGCTGGAGCTCAGCCGCCAAATACAATTATCGCATACGGATTCGAACCTTATATGCACTATTTGCCAAACGACGTACAGTGATGCAATATTTAAAGCAATTCAAAACCGTTTCCCCCTTACAAATAAACACAGAATAAGCTTGGATTATTTACAATGTATTTCGTCTCCGTTAATTGAATGGCAAACGTCATTTATGTGATGTGAACAAAACACGGCGTAACTAGTTCCTAAGCTTATTCCTCGTTTCTAAAAAAGGGGGTTAGAGATTACTTGTGAACGTAACAGCTGATCTTAAACATCATATACAGTTGAACATGTTCAAGTTTTATTGTAGTATTGGAATTCTTACATTGGAAATGTAAGGGGAGCGAGCTGAGTACAGCTCGTGTACCAGGCGAGCAGAAGCGACCTGCAGGTCACTCGTTAACGCCTATAGGGATGGTAGGATGATGCCGATGCTGTGCCGCTAGAGGACGTCCCATGATAGCTGCGCTTCGAAGATCGCTGATAGCCGTCTCCAGACCCGCCTGTGTACTCATAATCATCCCCTGTGCACGAAATCGAACACGTTAATATACACTACTGTTGTATAACCTATAAAAAGCAACTTTTAGAAGCAGTATTTCGGTTTTATTTTTGATAATTGAAATTCATTTTATCCAGATCATAATTAAGAATTAGATGTTATTATTTGGTATTAGTGATTAATAAGAAAATTGGAACTTACCGCACCACGCCCGCCCACTTTCCAATCACCACGAATTTCATTGGAGTGTCATACAAAAGATAATGATAGATCATAGTTCTTATTTCAAAAATGCATTTCTCTCATTTAGAGATCTATATGTATACAACTGTGATGATAATTAAACTACCTATGGTTAAATGTAAATAATAATTGTGATGATATGATCTATCAATATTAACCACCGACCACTACCTACTTACCTGATAAATACTACATAACTTACTTTAACCCTAAAGTGATATCTAGTAATTTTTACTTCTCTATAACAACGCTGTCTGTATTCATGATACTAGTAGATAAAATTTTAAACCTGACGCAGATGCAGATATGTCCGACACGTTACAAAACGACGGTTGTGGTGACACCATACCTCCACAATACATTATTGGCACCTGAATCAAAACCTATATTTATTTCACGGAATTTATCGCTAAGCAATTTGATAAAAAAAACTGATTAATTTTTATTCTATGTATATGACTTAGATATCCCATTGCTATGAAGCTTGTTACTAAACTTTCATTGGTCCTTCGAGCTGGAGCCTAAGTTACGTTTACCCAATTAGTTGCAGATAAATTATTTAATTTGGTTGAATATTAACAAAATTATTACAAGAACCTGTGGTGGGGTTCCTATAGTGTCACTCATCAGTGGTCCGTTCACGAACTTGGGGCTGCCAGTCGTGCCGCCCACACCATCACCCTCTGGCAAACGTTTAGTGTTAGATCATGCAAAACCTTAGTGTATCAACGATATTACTACAAACTTATTGCACTTTATATTTCCCAAAAATAATATTAGGCACCAATGTAAATTTATAGTGGAATTACATAAAGAGTAATGTGCAGTCAGTGACTATGGATGAATCAGCCCAAATGAAAGAAAAAACTCGCAATTCAAATACAATCTTAGAAAAAATGATCATCTTTTTACCGGTTTCACTGCTTGTTGATTTCTTAATGTTGTTCTACTAAATTAGGTACTTCTTTATGTATGTGTATTGACAGAATGCTGTAACTTGGATAATTATGGCTTATTTGGATGTCGTTGACATGCTTCTGTTGTTATTATGCCTTGTCTTTCACAATAAACGTTAAGGATTGGTCTTTTAGGGTAGAGTTAATTTGAAAGAAAAAAAAAAATAGAAAAAAAAAACTTTAAACATTTAGCAGTTAAATGCTTAAAACATAAAAACATAATTTTGTTATGTAGTTAGTAGCTAGAAAGACTAAAATAAATATCTTTTAAAATTAATCGAGGTTATCTTTGCAAGGGGAAAATATTGCATAGTGATTTGGACCTATCTATAGAAGTCGCGGCACGAAACTCTAGCTGTTAATGCGCAGAATTAAACATTAAGATGTGTTGGGGGGAAACAAGGTGCGCGGATGGGCGTGCGTTGGGCCAATTGTCTCTCCACCGCAGCTATCCCTGCAACGTTTTGTTCAGCGCTAGACTTACGTGACGCGACCTGTGCTAATAATATAAAGAGGTAAATTATGTTTTTTCGTAGGAAATTATATATGTCACAACTGAACTGATTTAGGAAGATCTTTTACCGGAGGTCGAAGAGCGAGTTGCACCTCGATTTAACTTTATTTTCGCGTTTGCGTTTACGTCGAAATTAGTACGAAGAAATTTACTTCGTTTACGTAACACTAGGCGGTGTTATTTAAACATTATTCTATACTAATTTCGACATAAACGCAAACGCGATAGTTAACGAGCCTGCGTTGCGTTAAGCGGGAGTACGGAGCGGGGGTCCCGCTCCGCATGTTTGTTTCATGTTATTTCAGACCGCTGGGTGACGCGCGTCTTCAGCGTAGCGCTGCTCTATGAAATTACATAAAAACTGCACGTGGAGCAGACGTCCGCTACGTGCTCCCGCTTAACGCAGCACAGGCCGTGAATCAAAGCGCAACTCACATTTCGGCCTTAGTAAAAAAGCCGTCCCAGTTGCATTAGCACCACGATAAGATATGATAGAACTTTTTATCGATACGTAACTGTCAAACTCTATTTTCATAGTTAATGTCGATAAATCTTCTTATCACATCGCGTTATGATGGTCATGCAAGGGGCTGACATATTTTTTCGAGTTACGATAAATTTATATATTATATTTATATATAGTGCAGAAGCCGGGGAGGGTCGCTAGTGTTCGTTAAAAGCAAAGATTGTATTTGATTGCCCTAGAATGTTCCCCATGACATCAAAACAGTGTGAAATACTACGATGTGAAATTAAAGATATTGTGATAGAACTAAAATAGATTAGTAATTATTAGGAACAAAATATCATACAAACACTTATAGGCTGGAATGTGTAAATATGTTAGTATCTAACGTTAGTGTTGTGTATTATCGATTTGCTGAAGTGTACTTGTTTTTGTCGATTTTTAGTTAGAATTTTTCTGTAAGACTATTAATGCATTTGCAGTGACTTTATGTCAAAATATAAAAACAAAAATTATGATAACAGTTACAATCTAAGGGTGGTTCATTCTTTCGGGAAGAGGAGATGGAGGCAAATTAAAAATGCCAGTATATTTTGAAACTTTTGATTTCTTTTAATTATCTACGTTTTATAATGTCCTTAAAGTAGATATATATTTCATTGTCATAAGATATTAATTATTTTTAAATATTTGCAATGGTAATATTAATATTTTAATTAACCAACCAGTAGTATTTACTTTATCCATTAAGATAGAAGAAGCTTAATAATAGGAAACTACGACAAAACTGTTTATTTTTCCATTACATTACAAACTACACTCTTATGTTACCAGTTAAATCTAACGCTAATATATACCCAAAATACCTAATATGAATAATGCATAATTTCTACTTAGAAAGACCTCAGTGTTATGACGTGATAGCACTTTAATTACATCAAATTCATCGCGTACAAGCTTTTCTTACTTTAGTGCTTCGATTAAAATTATTAATAATTAAAACCGTAATTAACTAATTATTATTATTAATCATCGTAAAAAGAAACAACAAGGAGGTTGTAAGTCTATCATAATTTTCCTTTTTATATAACGAACATAAAGTAACTTATTCGGGCTGCGGGCGCAACCCTCTACGCTCACGCGAACATTCTGCACTCTTTAGGGCTAAGTATTTTATTACCTTTACATATTACAAGAATATTATAACAAATCTAGATAATAGTCTTACAATTGTTACATGCTTATATTGTGGCGTCGGTCGCGTTCGCCGCTTCCATTTAAATTACATTTTAGGAAATTAATACATGTGTGTATAAATATAGCGCCCTCACTTAGGTAGGCGGCGTAAGGTAAACTAATATATGTCGTAAGTAAACATTATTTTAAATATTGTACATCAGTCGAGAGTTCACCTAACAATTTTGTAATCTAATCAATTGAGAATTATGTACTTTAATCCACTATAAAAATATAGTTTAAAAAATAATCAACATCAAATTTTAATTAAAACAGAAATAAATAACAACTTGCCCTAGTTTTTATAATAATTAATGTTATAATTAACTGTAAAGCCCGTGCAATTTATTTTACGATAAAAAACTGTCTCAATAATTACATTTATATTAAATTCTAGTATAAATATGAGGTTTTATATTAATAATACCTGCATTGTTTTTAAAATAACTTTCGAATAACTACAGTAAAATCGACTGTATGCGGCCGACACTTTAAATGCAAAAAATATTTAATTTTATTACGACGAGTAGAGAAAGTGAACTTAAAATGAGTTTGTTGCTAATCTAACTCTAACACTAAGGGTCTTGTATAATTAGTCAATTACGATGATAAATTTATTAATGAGTGGCACGGGGCAACACTCGTCGCCGTGCTGTGTGCGGCTAAGTTAGTTTATAATAATACCAAAATACACTTTTACACAAACTTGTTTCTTTTTATATATCTACTGAATAAACATACACATATAAAAACCGCGTACACTATAATATAAAGTAATACAAACAAGTGTCGAAAGGTTAACTACACAACAGTTCTACATTTAAGCCATGATTAAAATATTATTCCATAAACATTATTATTAAAGATACAGTATATACCTTATGTAGATATTACTCAGTGTAATATATTTATTAAAATGCAAGAATTGCAAGTGTCGTCACACACGTTTTGTACAAAACTGTTTAATAGTATATCTCTATATGCTAGTGACGGGTGGTGTCCATGGTGACGTGTGACGTATGACGTATGCGCGGGTAGAGACCGCGTGCGCGCGCGCTTCCTGCTCGCGTGGATTACACATTTGACAGACGAGCCTCTAACGAGAGTCTTATCGTATTTGTATTTTGCTAACTATTTTAATTAATAAATTCATCCAATATTTTATGTTCCTTCTCCTATATAATAATAATTAAAAACCCATATATCTCAATTGATTTTCTTCACAATAATTTGCACTAAGTTTAATGTTGAGTAAATCTAAAATTTCTAATACATATAATTTTATTTTTTATTTAAATAAATTATACTCTTTATGTTAATTAGAAAATTGCCACGAACGGTACATTACAAACTAAGTTCTTAAATTGTTCCGAAGGTTTGTGAGTGTCGGGCACGAGCCCGTATCTTAACACCTTATAGTGCTATCAATATCACTGAAAATAACATAATATAAATCATCTATATATTTCCTTAACTTTTTTAAGGCATCGTTTCCTAATATTAAAACAGGTGTGAACAATTTCCTCATTATCGGTGGTTGTACATTACATCTATGTAATAAATAATAATAAACGAAATGATCGGGTTGATATTGCAAAATGAACACGGAATGCGTGACGCGAACACAAATGACAGATAGTGCGAGCGCGGTGCGCGGGTGACCGATGAGCGGGACCGATGAAGTACGACCGAAACGAACACAAGCAGAGGAATGGATACAGACTAACCTAACTAACATAGGAACCGAGTAAACGAAGCAGACTAACGAACGTACACGTAACCTAGCGGGCGTTTGTACGCACCGACGTCCATAGTTAACATTATTTCATTATATTGTTACAAGGTACGAGTTTCGATTTCCTACATACTGATTGAGTCTCAGTCGAGTGTGTATTAAATAGAACTATAAGAAATGTACCAATATGCGCGTATCTATGAACATCACAATGTAAAGGCGATTTCACTATTTTACCGTTAAATTTGGGACTTCGCACCCCTCGCTCCGGACCGCGTCACTTATAATTTGCTTATACACCTCACAATATTCCTCATAGATAAATTATACTTTACTTATGGAGCGATCTTAAATAACCCTATTCTAAACGATCAAATTATGCATTCAATGTAATCATCAACAATTTGTCTATTTAAAACATTTATAACAAATCTTATCGATGCGAGCACTAATGCGTCCGCGGTTCTATTTATTTAAAATTAAAGGAACAACTCCCGTACGCTTGTACGCCGGGCAGTCTATCAGTACAGTACGTCCGTAAACTCTAAGATATACAACAAATAATGCAGACGCGGGCGACGCCGCGCGCCCGTTCGCAGCCCCGCGATATTAATTACTTAGCTTATCACTAAAATTTTAATCAGTCGATCGGTCAAATGATTGAGCGATATAGTACAGTAAAGGACTAACATTAAATTTAATCTAACAATGTTATTTTAAATTATAACTCACTTTGTAACGGGGCGTGGCGGGCGCGCGCCGTGGCCCGCGTCGGATCCATATTATGATACGACTAACATATCGGCCGCAGCGGCCTTCGAAAGCTCTATACAGTTTTAAAAATATTTGGCAATCACATAAATTAAAACTTTAAAACTATGTGACGAGAGTTCGATTAAAATTATGCTTTACACACAAGTAAGTATATATATATACAGTGTGTCCGCGCGAAGGGTGCGAGTGCGCGCGTCGGTACCGTACCGAACATCTATATCCTAAATGCTTGAGCTTCATTTACTTAACATACGTTATCTCTTGCTCGTTTAATAATTTGGCAGGTAAATTTAATTCATTAAAATATAAAATTCCATATATCGTAAACTTAAAATTGCGATAAAAAACTAAAATGCATATTAGAAAAAAAAAACAAATTAAAATTACGAATATTTATACAGATTGTTCCCTTTGGAAATAATGGGAAAAAATTAAATATATTTATAATACGTTCAGTCATACTATGTTTTGTATTAAATATTAACACATAATTATTTCATTACATCCCTACCATTTTCCTAAGTCTAGTGGGTGGTAAATAACCAAAATTCTAATATTAAACATACATACCGATATATATACCAAATATTTATACAAGTTATTAGCTTAAGTTAAGTTCTTTAGGTCATTTTCCCTAAATTGGCCTTGTTTAAGTGTCTGTCAAATGTGGATCACGCGGGCAGGCTCGCGGCGGCTCGGCGACACGCAGCCTCGCGCCGCGGCCTCTACTCGTCAACTAACTCTACTACTACAAGCGATACACTTCGAAAACATCACCACTACGCGAATTAGTGAGATCTATCCATCCCATCGAACAATAGGTCATCGAACATCATTAAAAGAAATCATTCGTATATTTTAAGTGAAAGTAAAATGTGAAAATATACCATTCAAAAAGCCCATATCCAAAGAGAATATTAAAAGCAAAGTTAATTTGAAAAATAAAAACATGTACTGATCGTACACTATCAGCGTCCTTCCAGCGAAGAGGGGTCGCGAAAACGGGGCAAGTAATATCAAGAACCTACTTTAGAAAAATGTCAAAGTTGAACACGCATCATTCGTCCTGTAACGTCCCTCGTGAAGACGCTACGTCAGCAGTTTCTAAGCGAGATGGAACTTAGAAAATTAGTAGACAAGCTCGAAATATCGAATGTAACATCTAACGGCTTGATAGTCATCTTTTAAACTATTTTTAATTTTTTTATTATTATTAGTTAAATTTAAAATAACTTTCTTAATTATTATTACGCGTGTGGGTTTGTGTTAATGTAGTCAACGGTGACCGATAACCACGCTTTGCAGCTTCAAATTACGTGCCATATTTTATATTATATAATCTATAACAATTTAAGTCAAATCAATATTTAACATTAAGTTGCATTGTTTGCACCTTCGACAGCGATCTAATCGTTTGCGCGTTTCAATGAATGACACAGTTTTGGGTGTATGATCAACACAGATCGGCCTATCAGAAACCTATTTTTATTTAGAGTCGATTGGTTCGGTAGAGAAGTGAGTAATGCGCTAATGTAGTGTGGGTTGTGGCGGTATGCGGCGCGCTCTAGTCGAACTAGGCGGGCCATGCTTTTACCAGACACCACGTATCTGGCGAAGCGAAACTTCACTTTTATTGACCAGGTTGTACGCATTGATTTTATTTAGTTTTGAGATCTAATACGCTAGTTGAGTAGAGGCGGATGGTCTGCCTTTACGGTCGATATTTGGTTGTGCTAAGTCACGTTCCTTTATAGAGTTCCCTCTCACTATTTTAGGTCTGCATCAAGCCAATATCGCCTAAAACTGACTCTTAAGGCCGATGGTCTGGCTATATGGGCGTTATTTGCTTGTGCTAAATCCTGTTAGTTTTTAGTTCCCTCTCACTATTTCGGGTCTCACTTAAAAGTGACTTAACTGTGTAAAGTTCTAGCAAATATCGCCTACATGACTCCATTGTGGAAATTTCAAGCCAATATCATCTAAAAGTGACTCGACAGTGTAAATGTCAAGCCAATAGCGTTTAAAAGTTACTCGACTGTGGAAGTTTAATTAAGAGGGATTCTAGCCATTCATAAGTGCTTGTAACAGCCTAAACTGAATGAAAAAAAAATGATTTTGATTTTGAAGTGTGTTTCGCTCCGCCAGATCGGCGTGGCGGTTTAAACTAGGCCCTTGCGGGGCAGTCCCTGGAACTAAGCGGCGGGCCACTCCTTGTTAAACTCGGCGGCGAAGTGTTTGGGCGCGTGGTGCGGGATGTGCACACCTGGGGGCTGCGCAGCGGGCGCGTGGAACTCGCCGGCGTAGCGCGACGCGCCGTACGTGGAGCCCTAACATCCGCACACGTTACACACTGCCCGGCCCTGGCCGCCGTCGCCGACGCCGACGCTTAACGCTACCGACCCGGCGGCGTACGAACATGATGCGCACAGTACTTTACCGTAACCGGGTTTATCGAGTTTAGATAGTTTTGGAAGTAACTTCAGTGAAACTTTTCGAAAGAACGGAGGAGGCGACTATGTTCGTATGCCGTAGTCTGCGTCCGAATCGAGCCGAGGCATCGGCTCCGCCGCGTGAGACTCATGGAGGATCGAAATGAGGCCAGACATTTGAACGTTGCATCCGATTTTATTGTTACCGATAAAATCTTATTTAAAATATTTCGTTTAGACTTATGAAAGAGTAAGTATGTATATCACGCTGTCGAGAGGCCGCATTCGCTGATGCCCCATGATTTTTAACACAATTTGTATAAATATGATATCTGCGGTTACAATCGACATAATGATCGAATTAACTCTGAACACTTAAAGTACAGCTCTTAATATTAATTTTATCGATTAAATTATCTATTAATGAACCTGTAACAATATGAGAAAATCCAAATTTTACTAATTTGTACTTTAAATGCCAATTTACAAGTGTTGAGATGAGACAAACCATTGAGTCATCTCGCACGGCTACAGTTTGCGATATGAATATCGAATGGAACTAAGTAAAGCTTATATCTAGTGCGATGCGATGGCTTTTTGATGAGCGCGCACACGTTATCGTCGCGTAAATCGAACCGTCCATAGTGAGAAATTGCCAGTGTTTCGCGACATGCCCTCATCCGTAACCCACCCTTATCTCTAATTGTCTTTCTGGAGGAGCCACTCTTGTGGGCCCTGATCGACCAACTGGAAAAGAAGAATTACACGACATAAAGTCCCACTCGCCACAACGTCGGATCTTTCAGCAGATTTATGTAAGTAGCGCAGCGCGTGAAAATGGACCAAAGCGTGTGAATATCCCCGAGGGCCAGATGAAGAGAGGCGAGGATGGACGCGGGATGGGAGGGGTGGGCGGTGATGAGAGACCTTCAGCGAAACTGGATTAAAAAACACTAATCTTCTTGATTTTTCACTATGGATAGCGGTGCGACTGTCAACTACTGTCTCGAAGGAGCGGCTAGAGTATCATGGAGCGCCGCGTCATTATGAACCGCAGCATAGCTCTCAAAATCAAAAAGACATCGCACATCGAATCTCGCCACTGAAAACATGCAGAGAAGTGAACGCCATCATCTCTGATATGTGGACATAACAAGCATATTGGAACACAGCACACGGATGCAGGGAGGCAAACTAATGGCTCTAATCACTCATGCTGAATTACAGCCGCAACGTATCGTTTGTTTGCATTCAATGGAATGTTTTCGCTGAATTTCACTCGCTCACCAATGGTTCGCCGATCGCTACCATTCATTCATTCATGAATCGCAAACAATCACTAAAGAAGTACAACCAAATTGAACTACGAACTGGAAACGAGCAATCGCTACAAGTACAATTCATTCGTACGCGCTCTCATTCCTTCGAAGATTCGATTCGGTTTCTCTCTCTGGAGTAAATAAAACTTCACATTCATGCAATCTTACATACCAGAACCATGGCAAATGTTTAAAGGTTGATGCGGGATAAAACAAAAGAAAAGCAAAGGTTGACAAGGAAACAAGGAGGTAAGGATGCAAGCCCCAAGGATTGAGCAAATAATATGTATGAACTCTATACCAACTTGGCTGTACTTATAAAGAAAAATTTCCGTGAAATCAGTGCAATATTTCTTGAATTAAAGTTTAGCATAATAAATAAATAAAATATAAATCATATATGTCAAATTGTAATCCAAGAAGTATTAAATTAATGTGTGATTGTTTGCGAATAAATTTCACAATCCATTGGAAGGTTATTTACATTTAAAATTGTTCCTTCCATTGAATATTAGAAACATATTATTTGACTGCACAATTAAAATCACATTAGTTAAGAGCGCACCATGTTACTGTTTTACCCAGAATCCTCTACCACATACCATGTTTCAAATTGTTGTTTAATATTAATATAATTCACGAAATAACTCTGCAATCGAATAGTTCAATAATTGACCAATTGAGTAATAATTACCTTTTATAACATAAAGGCAAAACATCATTGTGTAACCACCCAATAGATGAAAGTGATGATTTATACAAAATTTAAAAAATACTGAAACATGGTACTGTGCTTTGAAAGCGTTTAGAATAATTTAAAGCATATAAAACCTGACACATTACTGAATAAAATGATAATGTGTACAACCAGAAAAAACATTCCAAATAATTGCAAAACGATGGGGAGGGTCAAAACACTATGAAACCTAGCAAGGAGCATACCAACACCACTTCTAAATACGTTGTATGTGAAGATTTGAAACTAATTTTAATCTGAGAAAATTTGCCTAAAAAACTATTACAATTTTACTTAAAAATATTAGTTTCAGAAGTCCACTAAACGACTGTATACACATTAACATATAATTAGGACAACATAAAATTCAAGACTAACAAAAGACTATGTTTTAAAATAAATGATAAATATTTAATGTGTACACAGCTTTTTGTATATTTTTGTACCGTAATGAGTCTATTAAAAGGTTCATTACTTTGTTAAAGTAAAACCAATTCTGCAGCTACAGTAGAGATGGCAATTGAATTCGAAACAATAATGTTTTATATATAACAACGATAAATATTGTGTTATTTATGTGGACACCAGTGTTTCGATATCAATTTATTATATTAATACGGCAAAATAGCGTTAAGTTGTACTACGTCGATTTTTCTTGGGAATAGTAAATATTTAGTTATGTCATTCATTACAAAATCCTAGCAAATGTCAGAGATGATAAAACTAAATCTAAAAAGCTAGCTAAAATACATTAAAATTAAATTTTATCTGTATGTATAATACATGTGACCATGGTGTAGCCGTATTTATTACCTCTGACATTGCGAACTTCTCTGCATGTGTGTGGCGTATTAGTTTGTTAAAAAATAATAATTTGAATATACAATCTATACAAATCATTAAAAAACCTATAAAAATGCATGAAATTGAATACTTGTCATCACATTCTTAACCTTTATAGTTGGCATAGGATTGTATGACAGTCGCATTCAATAAAAAATATAATCTAATTTTGAGCCGCTATCAATTATATCAGATAACACCATAGAAAAATCATATTTTACTGAAAATTGCAGTGTCTGTATTAATTGGAAGGGCTTCAACAATGAAATCATTGTTTTAACTTCAACCGAAAACTAAGTAACTCTTTATTTCACAAGAAGATGGGTTAAGTATATACTATTTGTAGTCATGTATTGACATTTATCAAATTAAAAATTTCAAGTTTTCGATTGAACCATGTGTGTTGTATTGTGTGGTAAGACTCTATTGCATTGTGTTTCACAAATAGCATTCCAGAAGCTCATTATCTGTAGATTATCTGGATAGACTATTGGTTACTATCAACAAGTTATAAGCTTAAAAGCTTCACGATTAACACACATTAAGATAGGGATCATACAATTAAAACTCGCAAAACGGTTGAAACTTGACTTTAAGGAAGCTCTACATTAGGTTTACATTTGTATGACGAAATCAGTTTTTTATACAAAAACTGTGATAGATGCACGCTTTTTAATTACTTTATATTGCATTACTGTCAAGTGTTTTAATTTTTTCATCGTACTAATGTAACCTTTGAAGTCTCAACAGTCAACATCTTAATTGCTTGGCTCCACACAGTTAATGTGCGTAATCGTTATGCACACTAGTTCCGTGTCGTAAATTACCTTGATATAATTGCTATTGTAATTTTTATGTTCGCGCGGATTAGTTTTTTGTGCAATCGCATTTTATTTCTTTCCTTCAAATGAGACTGCAATATTGGAAGTTATTGGGAAATAGAATCGTCTTTTGTCTCCAGTGTATAAACAAAATGAGACGATAGTTTTCAAACACCTACTGGCCAGTCACACAGGTCTAGTTGGAATGAACCCAAAACTTTTAAGATACCACAAAGCAGTGTTATTCATAAAGAGCAATCAAAGTAATTAATCGCAACGGTTGTACAGTACTGCCACATTAATAAGACACAACAATGTAACAGAAGCCAATATGAGCAAATACAACTGTATTTGCTCATATTGGCTTCTGTTACATTGTTCAACAATATAAGTATTCAAAGATTTTTTCACAACTTTTACAAATGCACAACCCGTTTAGAAAGCAATATACTGTCTCAAGTTGCAAATTGTTAAATTGAATTGTAGTCAGAACAAACCGTACACTTCTAATTTATAGTACTACCATTTTTGATCCAAACCAAAATAATATAAAATGGCAAACATTTAAGTGTTTTTATTAAGCATGTAAAATGCACCAGTGTACAGAACAATATACAATTTCTAATAATAATTGTAGACTGTCAACGAAAATTTATTATGACACTTTCTATGGGCTAACTGTGGAATGATGAGACAACACATGACTTTTATGAAGCATAAAATTCATTTGACGATTCTGAGTACGGCTATTATTCCTGTGGCAGTGCTGCAGCAGTGTGCGCGTGCTTTGTGTGTGTGTGTGTAAGCCTGCGTGTGTATAATGCGATTCAAATTTAATGACGGCTGTGAAGTTAGCGCAAGTCGCGGCGCAATAAACAAAATATAGAATGATGTTGCGATTGCTGCTAACTCACACTGTGCCAATATAGACTGCATACAATGGTCGCAGACCCCCTTGCGTAGTATTATCGCATAAATAAGCGTGTGATACGCCCCCAACGGCGTTGAATAGTTTCACCATATTTGTCGTACGTCCATGACATCTCACTGAGGTGTCTAATCAAAACGAGACTTGGGTAAGCCCGCACGCCAGCAACTGTGGTGATTTTTAACTCAAACAAACACTAAGTAATGCTGACTCTAGGGAGTGTGCTTTGTATGCTAACAATATAGACGCCGTAGTCTACTTAATGGCGGCTGTAAATTGAGAGCAAGTCGCAGCGCAGCAAGCAAAACGAAGGATGACGAAAAACACGCACGGGATGTCACCGAGCTTAAAAGAGACCTGCGCATGGTTGCGTCGGCTGCTAACCCCACAACCTATCAAAGTCTGAGTTCGCACTATATCATGTGTTGTGTGCAGAGGTATAAGAATAGAGTGGGGAAGGTAGCTCTAAAAGTGTCCGTCCAGTACAAAGTGAAAGAAGATGAGAGACCGCTAGCTATCTCTCTCTTGTGACGCATGCGCAGTCGTCTGTCCAATAGTTGGTCCAAGCATCACATCGAAATAGTAAGATGCTATTTCGATGATTCGAGAGAGAGAAAGCTAGCGGTCCCTCATCTTCTTTCTCTTTTTATTTGAGGGACACTTCCACTTGTAGTAGAGTCTATATCTCCCCTACTCTATTCTTATACCTCTATGGTTGTGTGTGTGTGTGTGTGTTATGTTGGTACACCGACCTGGTCCTGCTGGTAGGCGGGCGGGTACTGCTGGTATGTGGAGTAGTCGGCGGACGAGGACTTGGACAGCGCCGCGGAGGAGAGCACCCCCGCAGCGGACAGCGGGGGCTGCGCCGCCCCGCCGCCGGCGCCGCCGCGCCCATACATCTCGCCGCCTTCGGAGAGCGGCACGTACGAGCCTGAACCGAATAACGGGGACGGTATAGTCGACGAATACGTAAACTGTTTTTCCACTCCACACGTCTCAGAGCAAGCGCACATTGAGCCACTAATGGCGGCCACTGGCGCCCCGCCCCGTACATTTCGCCGCCTTCAGACAGCGGCACGTACGAGCCTGAACCGAACAACGGAGGCGGTCCAGTCGCGGAATAGTTAATTATTTTACCACTTCACCCAACCACTTCTTAGAGGAAGCGCACATTGAGCCACTAGTGGCGGCCACTGGCGCTCCTAGTTGATTGTAAACAAAACCGCTGTACCGCCACTAGGCACTATGGAGAAGAAGAATATGGAGAAAAGAAGGAAGAAAACAGCCAATTTATCCCGCCAGAAGTGAATTTACGCCATTACAACAAATCGGGACAGCCTTGAAGTGACAGATGGCCCTTTGGCCGTTTGGCACGTGGCCAAAGGGCCATCTGTAATTAGTTTTGCGTTTTCTTCCCCATTGCCAAAAAGATAGGTTTTGTATTTGAATGAATGGTATCGCCGCTTTAATGCCTACTCGCAGTGAAAATAATACAAGGAAATAATTGATCTCCTTTTGATAGAGAGCCGATTTATTTCCACCTGTAAGCTACAATTACTTAAAATCTGCATAAAACTTTGTTTCATAGCAAATAAAAGACAAACAAAGACATAATACAATGATAAATGAATAAAAGCGACAATATTTCCACAGCTGGTCTTTACTGTGGCGAAACGCACAGTAATCACATGCAAGACTCCGCTACATCTATTATTTATTTGAACATAATATTATTTATTTTATTATTGTTTTATATTTTGTTACATATTTCTAATAAACATGTTAAGAGTCTACCATAAAAGCCCGCTGGGTCCAGCAATTAGGAATGTTTCCAAGTTTAGTTGTAAGATTAGTAATAAATTTATTAGCAACAGCAAAATAAAAAACAGGTTGTTTTATGTATCACTAAAGAACTACCAAAAAATAAATATACAAAACATCTGATAAGGATTCGTAATAGTATTTTAATAAAATTTTATTAGCGTGTTAATCAGACAACAAGTAAACATAAAAAAATATTGTTTGTCTATTAAACAACTGAAGGCTCCTAGAAAAATAAAATAAATATTAATCGATACTGAGACCTGAGGAAGCAAGTTTATTAAAACTTAAATTGTATTAGAAACCATATTGTAATGAATGCAATAGTTTATTAATTAGTGTGTTACTAATTTGATTAGTAAGAATGAACTACCATTTAAGTTTGTTTTTTAACCATCTTCCATGAGAAACTATTGCCATTCTACAGGTAAAAAATTATAATTCACTAATAAGATAAAATAAAGACTAAACTACTATTAAATCAATCTTAGTTAACATACTACAAAAAAAAAGGTAAATTTAAAAAATCAAAAAACCCGACTGCTTAATTATACTTCAAATAAAAACTGAAAAGAAAAAAACAAGTCCAGTAGTCTATAATTCTGTTAATAAGGAACAAAGCTACTTTAACAGTCGGGACCCACTGTTGAAAAATATTATGTATTCTTGAATATCTAATGGGTCCCGACTGTTAAAGTAGCTTTGTTCCTTATTAACAGAATTATAGACTACTGGACTTGTTTTTTTCTTTTCAGTTTTTATTTGAAGTATAATTAAGCAGTCGGGTTTTTTGATTTTTTAAATTTACCTTTTTTTTTTACATAGTACACCGCGCTATCACTTTTGTCATCGTTGTAACTTTTTAAATATTTGTCGAAATGACATAGTGTAAAAAGCAAAGTTTATCGTCTTTAAATATCAAAAGCGATAAAAGTATTTGTTTTGATAAAAAATGATATGTTAATACAAAATGTGCATTTAGGAAATAGATATCAAATAATATTTTAGTTTTGATTCACTATTTTAGCGGTAATGACTTACACATTAAAAATAGATATATGGTGTCACGGACTTTTTTTTAGAACTATTTAAGAGATACATTTTCACTCTACATTACATTCATGTAACTTTTATTGTTTTTGCAGTGCAGGCCAAAATGGCTCTCAGATGGGAGATTTTTTTCCTTCTTATGTGACACTTATTGTTATATATTGGCCAATTCACTCAATAACTACATAAATTATTATATATATGTAATTATCATATATGAGCTATATTACTGTTAAGTTTCATTAAAATCCATTTAGTATTTTTTAGGTGAAACAGTAACAAAGATCGAAATTAAAAGGGTAAGTGGTTAATATACAACTTTAAAGCGTTGTAGATCCTAAACAATTATATAAAATGAAAAATGGTGTTAAAAGCCTAAATATGATTTTTGATTATCTAGACAGTGATACCCCACTCGACATATTTTGTCAACTTATTTTTTTTACTTCATCACAATATGGCGCCTAATTTTGCCCATATTGAATTTTGATTACTATCATATCTTTAGTAGCACTCCCATGATTGAGACGAATCGATTGATGTATGAATCATCAAAATCGGTCCAGGCGTTTGGTCTCTAGTGTGCCACAAAGGAACAAACATACATATATAGACTGTTAAACACATAACCCTGTCTGCGCGTCGCGCTTCGCGCTCTTGCATTGCGCAGCCGGGTAAAAAACCTTGATTATGTGATGTTCCTGTCGTACAGTTCATGACTAAACCAATATTACAATGAGGAAGGAAATGCATAGCTACATGATTACAGTTGTGCGGCATTAACAATCAATCTGTCAGTTTTAAGTCAGTCAATTTGGTTCGGTTTTTCCTGCGAAACTCTATAAAACTGTCTTTTTATGAACAAATAAAAGTGTAGTAATTACTCTGTGAAACACTTTATATGATCTGAGGAGGATGTTAAAGGATTGTAAAGCGGAGCAGGAAAAAGTGGGCTATTTAGACCAAAAAGCAACTCTGTCAAATTTATATCCATACGTGAGGCCATGGATTTAATCGACTTCTATGACAGATTAATAATATTTATTTTAAATCTGAACCGCAATGAATAATGAATGTAACTAAATTGTTTAATGAGTAAATTTAAATGTTTTCTATCAGAGTTAAAAGTTTGAAATATTATGGTTAAAATACATCAAAGTTTCCTAACACTAACTCTGTCTAATGGATGGTGGAACTGCAATAACTAATGAATTTAAATCTTACAGTTACTACAGCTAAACTTTCTCTAACACTCGAAACTCCTTCTAGTGGGTGGCATTCGTACCCGAGCCCGTTGATTCACTACTAAGACATATTGAACTAATGAAGCTTAATTATTCGGTTTAAATGCCTAAACTGTGGAATTGCAATGAATTCATGAACCTAAATCGTACAATTACTATGCCTAAACGGTTCCTGAGACTCTAAACTCCTTCTAGTGGGTGGCGTTCGTAACTGAGCCCGTGAATTCACTGCTAAGACATAATTAACTAATAAATCTAAATTATACGGTTTGTATACGGTTTAAATGCCTAAACTGTGGAACTGCAATGAATTCATGAACCTAAATCGTACAATTACTATGCCTAAACGTTTCCTGAGACTCTAAACTCCTTCTAGTGGGTGGCGTTCGTAACTGAGCCCGTGAATTCACTGCTAAGACATAATTAACTAATAAATCTAAATTATATGGTTTGTATACGGTTTAAATGCCTAAACTGTGGAACTGCAATGAATTCATGAACCTACATCGTACAATTACTAAGCCTAAACGTTTCCTGAGACTCTAAACTCCTTCTAGTGGGTGGCGTTCGTAACTGAGCCCGTGAATTCACTGCTAAGACATAATTAACTAATAAATCTAAATTATATGGTTTGAATGACTAAACTTTGGAACTTCAATGAACTAATGAACCTAAATCGTACATGTTATGACTAAACGTTTCCTAAGACTAAACTCCTTCTAGTGGGTGGCGATCGTACCTGAGCCCGAGAATTCACTGCTAAGACATAATTAACTAATAAATCTGAATGATATGGTTTGAATGCCTAAACTTTGGAACTGCACTGAACTATTAAACCTAATCCGTACAATTACTTTGCCTAAACGTTTCCGAAGCCTCTTAACTCCTAGTGGGTGGCGGTCGTACCTGAGCCCGAGAATTCACTACAAGACGTAATGAAGTAAAGAATCTAAATTATACGGTTTGATTGCCTAAACTGTGGAACAGCAATGAACGAATGTAGCTGAATCCTAATATGGTAAGTCTACCTAAACGTTCCCTAACACTCTAAACTCCTAGTGGGTGGTTTTCGTACCTGAGCCCTTGAATTCACTGCCAAGTCATAATGAACTAATAATAAATCTAAATTATATGGTTTGAATGACTAAACTTTGGAACTTCAATGAACTATTGAACGTAAACCGTAGAATTACTATGTCTTCTAGTGGGTAGCGTTCGTACCTGAGTACAAGACATATTGAACTCAAGAATCTAAATTATACGGTTTGATAGCCTAAACTATGGAACAACAATGAACTAATGTAACTAAATCATAATATGGTAAGTCTACCTAAACGTTCCCTAACACTCTAAACTCCTAGTGGATGGTTTTCGTACCTGAGCCCGTGGATTCACTACTCAGACATAATGAACTAAAGCAAGGCTGCTCAACCCCAGGCCCGCGGGCCACAATGTGGCCCGCGAAAGAATTTTGTGTGGCCCGCGCAAGTATGGTTTGTAAAAACGCACCAAATTCAAAAATCCCGCCGCGCACAGTACAGCCCGATTCAAACTTTATGACCTCTCTGAAGTTAGCTATCAGTTCGCTACGAGCAGCGCGGGGATTGATACCCCACCCCCGCGTCTCCAATATTGTGCATTGCGAATCGTAAGTAACGAAGCTTGGATAGGAATTGTACGGTCGGAACGGTCATCAACCCCGCGCGCCCGCGTCACTTTACTGTCTCATCTCACATCTCATTATGCTTCGAGAAACAATTGAGTGCGTACGTGTTTTAGTTCAACTGACTGTTAGTTGTTAGTTTGTTGTTAGAAAGTGAAGTTTTGAATTTGTGTTTTTGTCAATTTCGTATTTACACTGGAAGGTCCAAGGTAAGAGATATAATGAAGGCAAAATTTTATTTTTTCGTATTACATACTTAGGTATCTATTTGAAAAGGAAAATATACCGATACACGACCCACACGTTTTATAAACTGTCTGCCTGTGTAATAATAATAATAAAATATGGTTTGTTTCAGTATGGCTCACAGCAAACCGAGTAGTTCGAAATCAACGGAGGCCTATCGTGTTTTTCATGACGAATGGGAAAATAAATATTGTTTTATTGAAAGCAAGGCGCGTAAGCCTACATGTTTACTTTGTTTCACGACAGTAGCTACTGCAAAAAAATATAATTTAGAAAGGCATTATAAGCAAAATCATAATAATTTTGAAAAAGATTACCCTGTTGGTAGTGCTATCAGAGAAGATTTTTTAAAGAAAAAGAAACGGGACCTATTTAACCAACAGAATATTTTCGTTAAAAAGCACGACGAGCTTGAATCCATGGTTAAAACATCTTACGAGATTTCTTTGCTCCTAGCGAAAAAGAAGAAATCGTTTTCCGATGGAGAGATTGTTAAAGAGGCTTTGACGATCTTTGCAAAAAATTGTGATGATAAACACGTCAAAGCTAAAGCGGACAGTATTTCACTCTCACGGCACACTGTCACGAGACGGGTGGAGCAAATGGCAGTTGACATCAAGGAGCAGATTCAAGAAATCGTAGCTAAGTGCAAATATTTCTCATTGGCGTTAGATGAAACTTGCGATTTAACGAGTAGATCTCAGTTGGCTATTTTTGTGCGATGTGTTGACGAAAATTGGAATGTATTGCAAGATTTACTAGAAGTCTGTCAGCTAGAAAGCACAACCCAAGGAAAAGACATATTTTTGAAAATTAAGGAATGCATTGAAAAAAATACTTTATCGTGGGACAAATTGATATCTATTTGCACTGATGGTGCACCAGCAATGATTGGAAAAAACAATGGCTGTGTGGCTTTGTTACAGAATTTCTTAGGTCGTAATTTATTTTCGTATCATTGTATTATCCACCAGGAAGCCTTGTGTGCCAAGGATATGGAGTTGAATGACATTATGGACCCAGTAATACGCTGCATAAATTACATACGTGCAAAAGCTCTTAACAGACGTCAATTCAGACTATTATTTGAAGAAGAAATCAAAGAATATGGAGAGTTACAACTGTACTGTGCTGTGCGATGGCTTTCAAGGGGCAGTATGTTGAAACATTTCTTCAACTTGCGAGAACAGGTGTTGGAATTTTTAGAGCATAAAGAGGCTTTACCATTGGAAGTTGATTTACTGAAGAATACATCCTGGTTGAGTGATCTTGCATTTCTTGTTGATATTACGAATTACCTCAATATTTTGAATCTCAAATTACAGGGTAAAGATTGTTCACTTCCGACTATGTTTAATATGATAAGCGGATTCAAAGCAAAATTAAATCTCTTTACAATTAATTTGGCGACAGAAAACATTGATCTCTTCCCCACACTAAAACATTTGAAAGATGAGCTCAATATTGCTTCTATTAATTACTCTAAATACCAATCTAAAATTAAAAGCTTATCACAGTCGTTTGAGTCGCGATTTCAAGATTTCGAAAGTAAAAAACAAAATTTACAAATATTTTTAAATCCTTTCATGATAAGTTTGGCTGAAATAGTCACTTATCCTGCAAATATTCAATTAGAACTTGTGGAACTGCAAAATCACATTATGTTAAAAAACCTTTTTGCTAACAAATTGTCGAAAGCACAAAATTCTTCAGAAGATTATGCAGAATTCTGGAAACTGGTACCAAAAGGAGAATTTCCAGCAATAACTGACCTGGCGTTACAGTTTATAAGTAGTTTTGGTTCAACATATGTTTGTGAAAAGGTTTTTTCAGATCTAAATTTTGTAAAAAATAAATATCGCACATCCTTAACTGAGCAACATATTTGTGACTTGTTGTTACTGTCAACGTCGGATTTGTCGCCAAATATAAATAAATTATTAAAAGACAAACAATGGCAGAAGTCACATTGATTGTAATAAATAAAGTAAATATAAATTAGTTTTTAAGCTATTGTATAGCTTTTATCGCGTGCTTTGAACGCGGGGACCGAATCAAAAAAATCTGTAACGAAAAAACCTTGCGATAGTGCATATACCAATAGAACACAATTTTCGCCAATCTAATGTTAATCTAAACGGCGCAGTGTGTTAAGTTTTTGCCACGGGACTAACGTTCGACGCATCACCGCGGTCGTCGGTTCAAATCCTGCACTCGTATTTTTTATTTTTAGTTATTATTTTTTTATTTTTTTTATATATTTGTTTTAGACCCCAGCACCTGTTCTTATTTTTATTTGTCTCCCTTTTATTTAGACTTTATAATTATAATTAAATTTTTTGGACTAAAGATGGTAAACTGTGGAGCTTGTGGAAGTTTTTTGGCGCCGGGCAATGCTGTTGTTTGCTGTGCTTGCCCAATAAAATATAATAAGGCCTGCCTCGCCATCCCGGAAAAGTCGAGTGTCGTCAAGGACTGGATATGTCCGAACTGCAAGAAGAGCACACGCAGGGGTGACCACAAGCGTTCGCCTGTAAATGGTATCAGCGAATCTTCTGAGCCCGAAAAACCGGTTGCTGTACGGGAACCGGTCGACCTGGCCAGTGGCTCTCCAAAGGAAGATGAGGTCTAGGGTAAGGCCAAGGAGAACGCCGCCAGAAATAATCACACCAGTGATATAAAAAGTATGCTGGCCGACTGCATGAAGGAGATGGAAAAAAAAATTGTTTTCTTATCGGTCACCACGTTCAAAAAGTCTAACATGAATTAATATCAAAGAAAAAACTGCATAAATAAATAATTATAATTGCATAAATTGATAAAAAATGCTATGCAATAGCTTTACCGCGGCAGTCCCCGAGTGCCACACGTATTTTTTTTCTCTATTTTGTACTGGAATATGTTACAGTTTGTAAAAGTCTTTGTATAATATTAACAATAGCATTTTTCTTTGCTTAGTTTGCAGTTGCACACTGTAAAATCTTTCAAACAACAAATATTTTTTGTAAGGGAGGAAACAACTTGCTGAGTTTCTTGCCCGTTCTTCTCAGAACAAGGCCACTTGGTAGCTAGTGAACTCAAAAGAGTATGTAAATACCGAACTGCATAAAAGTTGATTTAAATTTGAGAAGATACATACACAGGTACTTACATAATTCAAATTTTGTTTCTTTTTTAATAATAATAATATTTAGAATAAGATACTCTTTGTTCCTAATAAACAATAATTCAATTTTATATTCATAATTATTGAGTTTATATTGCGCTAATCCTGAGAGTAACTGAAATAGGAAATGTAAGTGGCCCGTCGTTAACGACTAAATCTACCATTTGGCCCGACTCTTCAAAAGGTTGAGCAGCCTTGAACTAAAGAATGTAAATTATACGGTTTGAATGCCTAAACTGTGGAACAGCAATGAACTAATGTAACTAAATCATAATATGGTAAGTCTACCTAAACGCTCCCTAACACTCTAAACTCCTAGTGGGTGGTTTTCGTACCTGAGCCCGTGGAGTTGGAGTTCTGCGGCATGTTCCAGTTAGTCCAGCTTCCCCCCGCGGACGCGCCCGCCGGCGCCGAGCTGTAGTTCGCTGTAACATGATGTTTGCGTTACAGCTTTGTTCTACAACCAACTATGTTTATACTATTATCATTCTTCCGGAATTTGGGGCTGTGCAGTCTTAATGGAACTGCAGTCACTGCGACCTATTGTGACTCGCCGCTAAGTTTTAAGTATCTTTTTCAGCCCGATAGCTTCTAAGAAGCTCATAATATATTTACGTCACAGCTTGGTCTACAACCCAGTTAGGTAATCTTTTTGGTTACTAATAACGACACTCAGGGCAAGGAGAGCCTTTGAAAGGAACCTTTATAGCTTGTACTATAGGAACCTTAATTGTTTAATTATAAATAGTTTTTATAATAACCCTTGTTATCGAAAAGAGCACTTCGTAAAGGGGAGCTTTTGATTTTAAGTTACAGTTTATTGAGTAATTAACTAATGGAGCTTACTGCGTTTATTTACTACATTTTATTGCGTAATTAACTAATTCGCTACTAACACGTGTTACAAGTTTTTTCAGATATTTTGTTTAGGCAGTAAAGGCAAATGAAAGTCTAACGAATTGATTAAAGTTGCCAAATTAATATCAAAGATTCGCTTTTTTATGCATGAAAGGCAATTATAAACCATGTCTTAAAAGAGGTTGAAAATGTAAAACGCCTATTTTGTCCTAAATTTATCTACATTTTCGAATTAATTGGATCGATAGATTCTTCTTTATTTTTCCGTCATTTTCGACCTATACTTTAAATCTTTATAATTTTTTCATGATTCCGTACGAAATAAAGATTAAATACCTAATAATTTTTAATTTGCCTATTTTAACGAATTAGGACCCCTATAACATACAGGCGCATCCGATATTTATCAGTCTTATCGAATAAATATTTAGTTTATTTTGATTTTTTATAATATTGTAGCAAGTCTTGTAGACTAGACTGTCCATTGGGACATCGAGTATATGCTAACTTGCATAATAATATCCCACAAACATCTGAACGTACCGACAGAAAAGAAACTGAAGGCACTGCCTGGATGTGGATATAATTATGATTTTAAAGTAACGAGAAGAATAAAGTAATATTGTTTATATTGCATTTCGACCCAGCGGTAATATAACACATTCCACGAAAACGCAGTAATAAAAAATATCCATAATTCAATTTATCTCAAAACGATGCAGTTGAAAGAAGTTATAATAACTAAAGTGTACATGTATTTTTTATTCATTTGATAAAGTATATGCGTGTGATTCGGATGAGGATAAATGCCGGGTTGTAGGGTGTTGACAAAGGTGTGTTAGCGTCGTTACCGTAGACTTCGAGCGCAGGCGGCGGCATGTATCCATGGATTTGCTAAATAGTGTATCCGCTGTGTCCTCTGTGTCTTTTGAGTGTTTGCAATGCCTGTCTGTTAAATTTTGTAGTTGTCAGGTAGTGGTGTGTTGGCAGTATCAAAATTACCATAGCTGTTGTATTTCTGCACGGGTGGCTGCTTGTAGCTGCTAAAGACTTCATGTTCCAGCTCTCACTTGCCTACCCCTGTTCAGTGTGTTTGCAATGTTCTATGTCTGTTACACATTGTAGTTCAGGACCGGATTTAAGGAAGGAAGGGTTGGGTGCAATCTTAAGTGGCCCTGGGGTGCCAGATATTAAAATAGGGATTAGTTGCCCCAGGGCCTCTTCACTTCTAAATCCGACCCTGCTAGTTGAATAGTGGTAATGTTTTGATGGTGCAATATGCTGTGTAGTCATCGTAGCTGCTGTATTCCTGTACGGGCGGCTGCTTGTAGCTGCTAAAGACTTCATATTCCAGCTCTCATTTTCAAGTGACCAATGTGTTGAGTTGTGGGTACTTTTGTTTGTTATATGAAGGGTCGCATACCGTAGCTGCCATATCCCTGCGCAGGAGGCTGCGTGTAGTTGTTGGTGGTGGCCCAGGCAGCCGCGTGGGGCGGCGTACAATGGTATAGGAAGACTACACCGCGCTAGTGAAATTCTGAGCCTTGCACATATATACAATCGGTCGGTATGGGGAGGTGTCTAGTGGTGGTGTGCAGTGTGCCTGATAAACGTGTCTGGTTGTAGTTTGTTGGTGTACTTGTTGGTGGCAGGCCAGGCGGGCCAGACAGGCGCGTGGGGCAGCGCCTCAGCCCTGGTAGTTGTGTGTGCGGGTTATGTATGTAGTGTGCATGGGGGTTACAGTGGTAGTGTTTTGATTGTGCAATATGCGGTGCAGTCATCGAAGCTGCTGTATTCCTGCACGGGCGGCTGCTTGTAGCTACATATTCCAGCTCTGATTCTTTGAAGCTCTGATTCTTTCAAGTGAACAATGTGTTGAGTTGTGGTAGTTTAGTTTGTGTTTTATTAAGGGTCACATACCGTAGCTGCCGTATCCCTGCGCAGGCGGCTGCGTGTGCTGCGTGTAGTTGTTGGTGGCGGGCCAGGCGGGCGCATGGGGCGGGGCCTGGGGCGCGGGCGGGGCGCCCCAGCCCTGGTAGTTACCGGGGCCGGCGCCCGCACCCGCCGCGCCGTAGCCAGCGTACGACGTCTGGCCGGGTGAAGTGCCCCAGCCTTGGTACCTGTCAGGCCCGGGAAACCACGCTATTCATAAAGCTAATCGGTACAAAAAACTCTAATAATGTAAAACCTTTTTTGTTTTACTATGCTATACGAATGATTAAAAGACCATTTAGGATTAAGATATTACTACTTAGGGAAAATTTTGAAGACTTGGATGGAAATTAATAAGACCTGAGCATTATTTACTGGAATTAATAAAAAAAGAATGTACTAAGTAATAATAAAAAAAAAGCAATTATGAGGCAATTCAAATACTTGACAAATAAAAGAACACATATTTATTATTTTAAGACTACATATTTAGGTGAAGAAATCACTTCAAAAATTTAATTAACAGACTGAATGTTTCAAAATCAAATGAATGAGAACTGCTTTATAAAAAAAAGCAAAATTTGAAATAACAAACACAGAAGTCATCGATCGCTACTAGTCTAAACTCACCCTTGCATAATGTTCGGGCCGGCCATCGGCATGTTGATCGGCGGGCCGCCCATCTGGCCGTTATGGCCCTGGATCATGTTGATGGGCGCGGCGGCGGGCGGGCCCCACTGGCCAGCCTGCGGCGCGTCCCCGGGCGCGCTCATGGCCCCGCCGCCCATGCCGCCCGACCCTGAGCCGAGTTTACCCGACCCGTCGCGAGGTTCCGCGCGTTTAATCTCCACCTTCGAGGGAAAGATTATATATTTCACAGTTGCACACCGATTTCAATGTTCCTACAGGTCGCGGCACGTAACTCTAGTGCTGAACAAAACGCGGAGGGGATAGCTTTTTTTTTTTTAATACACCTATTAGCCTTGCCCCAAAGTAAGCACTATAAGGCTTGTGTTATGTACATATATAAGTATATTTATATTAAAATACATATATTAAACATCCATGACTGGAGTACAAATGCTCGTATTCATCACACAAACATCTGCCCCCACTGGGATTCGAACCCGGGCCCTCTCGAGTCGGCGACACCATGAAACCCGGCGTACAAATCACTCTGCCACGGAGGTCGCACCTCGTTTCCCCCCAAGACATCTTAATTTTTAGTTCTGCGCAATAACGGTCAGCGCTAGTTTCGTGCCGCGACTCATACTAGAATTCCAAATTCGAACAAGCATGGACCTCGTCAAGATGCTTTTCTCGAGGAATCCCGGAAATCGGTGCATGCTGCCAACGATGTTTATGATAGCTCTGGGTAGTGCTTACAAACTAACACTAGGTAAAAAATGTAAGAAAAGGTTAGGACACATCCACCCAATCTTCCTTAATGAGTACCTACAACTAATATGTTTTATGTTTATGACATCAATGATGTTGCTTTTCTCTTTTCTTAAACATAAACAACAGAAATAGAATTAAATATTTCATTATTTCTTCAATACATATATTGATAAATAATCTTCTTTGTTGCAAACCTTGTAGACTCTATGTTCATAAGAATAAAGAGTATATGCTAGTCTGCTATTTAATCTTCCACAAACAACTGAACGTACCGCCGGCAGATACACTGACGGCACTGCCTGGATGTGGGATAAAAAAACTGTAAAAGTTACTTCAAATGAAACATGTAAGCATTACTTAAATACTAATTTCATGAAGAATTTGGAACCTGTCTTTCGTCGTCTATACAATGTTTTTTTTTATATATGTGCACCTCTTGCTACGCATGTGACTATTGTTTTAAAGACAATTAATTAACAACCGTACCTGTTTCCCATTGAGGTTGATGAAGTGCTCAGAGGTCACACGCTCGACGGACATCTCATCTTCAAACGACAGAAAACCGAAGCCTAGAAAGAACAATTTCACTGTTTAACACGCTTTGCCTATATGAGGTAACATTTTGGACCAAAGAATCGTTTACATACATTTTGGGACTAGCGTATCAACTCATTGGTGCGCCCAGAATCTTTGATATTTATGAATAACAGATACTATGGATTTTTATGACAAATGTTAATCTTCAACAACTATACGCTTAATAAAGTACACGCACACCATCGACCCAGTACCTCAGCCCAAAATATACAACAGGCTTTAGCACATAGTTTATAGTTATGAAACATTTTTATTAGAACCTAATAAAACTAATCCTTTTGTTGGGTTTACAATTTCAAAATGAACAAATGATGGTAGTATACCATCTATTGCAAGATCATTGGCATCTTAAAAGAACTGATAAGAACAAAAATAATACAGTTTGCAATATCAAAGGACAATGGGCAAAACACACCCAGCTCCGCTAACAATGTATGTATGTATGTATGAATCTGTTTTTTTTATGACACTGTAAAAAAAAATATCCTGGTAGTCAAAAGATATGGCACATGGGAATATTTAAGTAGGTAAATATGTTAATTAATTTTATAGTACCTTCATTTTATATTATTAGTAACCAAAATAAGATGCCATATCATACTATATAACCAAATATACGACAAAGCCGACCATCCTGCGCTTGCACTTCTTTATTCTGAGCCACCACAAAACGGTTTATGGGGGTTGAAGGACTTGCAGTTGCAAATAGTCGACTCGTCTTACTTTGTTGTGATTGTGCGCGCCCTATTACTTGATTGATTTTTATCTAATACGCTTTAGACATTGGAACACGATTATCGGTTTTGTGAATAAGTATGGATAAACTGGAATCATGTTTTCTCCAAAGCGTGGACAAATTTTTATGATTTGTGGTAGCTCCGTATTACATAAAAGACAATTTACTATAACGAACAGACTGTTTGAAAAACCCCCAACCCATGCGGGCATTTTTGGATTTACTTTAGCGCGGCAGAATAACATAAGGGTGAACTACTCCCATAATACCAGAGCATTCTATGTACGGTCGAACTAACTAACTAAATTAATTCCCTTGTTTCATTAATGTTCGTTCGTTATAGTACTTGCACCTATTTAACTTAAAATAACTAAAGACCCCTGGGATGTAATTTGATGCGCTTTGGCACAAATGATCATGACTATAATACCTTTCAAACAAATGTAGTTTAAGCCGTGGCGGACGTGGGTGCAGCGTCCATACATTTTTGCCCAATGTCCTTTAATCCCAAATTTTTTGTAACACGTTTTATGTAAAACTTCTAACTTACCCCTGGACTTCTTCTTCTCTTGGTCGTACATGATGACGACCTCCATGACCTTGCCATAGCGGCCAAAGAACACCCTAAGGTCGGTCTCAGTGATGTTGGAAGGCAGACCGCCCAGGAAGACCTTCGGGTAACCACCGCCGCGTTTCGGCTTCTGCAGCGTACGAGGATTGCACGGCTTCGGGTCGATAGTCCTGTGTACAAGGAAAGCACGACTGTCAGCTAATGTTCCGATCAATTTTTTATGGATGAGTAGCCCATGTACTACTGCTTAAATTCTGCTGACCCAAGTAAGTGGAATAAGTTCCCTGTAGACAGGGGCGTATTTACCCTGGGGATAATCTGGTCCGGGGTGGCAGTCTGCAAGGGCCGGCCGCGGAAACTACAAGAGGCAGCAGAAGCCATATCAAGGTACACGTAACTGACTGAAAGTTCAATATTTCGCAAACGGATCCATAAATCGAAAATAGTCTTAGGAACTCTTTAAGTAATTTTAAAGGACCTATTCAACGATAACCCACCCGATAGGGTAATGATGAAAAAAAAATATCATTCCCAGGTTACATGTAGGGGAACCTACCCTAAAGAAACATTAAATAAAATATTTAGTATTTATTCTACCATTTTGTCGGCGTGATTAATATACATATTTTCACAAAATGACAGCTCTCTAGTGCTAATAGTATCCAAGCAAAACCGGGGACGGACAGACGGACATGACAAAACTATAAGGTTTGCTTTTCAGGACTATGGAACCCTTTAAAATAAAATGATGTCTTCCTTCAATAAAATATTCTATCTTCAATATACTTTCCCTCTGTGTGGCATGACCGTGGGATGCCCTATATAGCGGTATATGATTGGTGTAAAGTCAGTGACTTTTAAGAGCATTGAGCCACTTATAACGGTAACTCGTTGCTCAGCCAAGCCACTAGACGCAGCCACCAATCAAAGCCGCTGGTGCTTTAGTAGCGGCCACTACTGGTTAGTGGCTCAATGTGCGGTAGCTCTGAACTAAACAAACCCTCTGAATACTCGTTCATATGCTGTGGTGCGTAGTACATAAATTATAAATAACTCCACGCCTGAGATTTAGTGAGAAACACCTCTATCGCGCACTCTATGAATAAGCACATGAAAAATTTCCCACACTTTCTATAGTCAGTAACAAATATAATATAAAGTGCACTATAATTATATACCTACATATGTATGCTTTATTGACCACATTTCAACGCAGGCTAATTGCATTCTCTAGCAGTCAAACTCTAGGAATATAGAAATTGACGAATCGCGGTTTTCTAATATACACAATCATTATGATATTTAAATACATTCAAAGTAATGTTCAATTTGCGTAACTAAACTACGTAAGTTTATTTAAAATCTATTCCGTTAAAAACTGAGCAGATCAATAACTTCTTTGATAATACAAAAAATAATATTAAAAATTTAAAGATCTTTTCTTAATCTAAGTCAAACAAAACCTTAACTTTAACGAAATAATGGATGCTCAGAACTTTTGAACAAAATGCTGAATCCCAAACCAATGAGCTTTATCTTGGTGTCAATGAATTTTAAAGTAAGTATTATCCGTACGACCTCAAGTAAATAACACACAAAGAGACGGTGTTATCATGTGAACAATAATGACTCAAATGTTGAATATTTAACGAGGGAAAAATATTTGTCCGTGACGTAATCAGTTTAGGTACAATTTTCTACTAACGAGCAAAGTCGTCTTGTTATAAAATCCAGTAACGCGAACTGGATAGGTAATTGATATGATAGTTGTTCCTATTTTCCTATAGACATATTCTTAATGAATGAAGTTAATTTGAGAGGACTCCAAATACGAAGATAGCTGATTGAGCAGACATACATGACTTTATGTCATGAATAGTGTTGCCAGGTCCGATTTGTTTTAAATCGGTACATGGGGTCAAAAAAATCCGGATTTATGGTTGCAGATCGGGACAGTAAATAAAAAACAAGGGGTTTTTAAGTCAGTGTTTAATTAATTGCGTTTTAAGCTACTAGTGCAAGTAAAGTATTATATTAATTACCTAAATTTCATTTAGGGTCCCGATCAGGTACAAATCGGGACGCGTCCCCAGACCCCTGAAAATCGGACGTCCCGCGCAAATCGGGACACCTGGCAACACTAGTCATGAACCCTATCCTCCTAGATCACTTAACTTTACTGAAGTAACACAAACACACAAAATTGTTTCAGATGGTTCCAGTGAAGTTGTGAGGTTTTAATCTACTCGCCGACGAGATATCGTATAATAGGGGTGATGACGGGGTACAGTAAACGAAATTCTATTTAGTCCGTCAGTTAGATGATCAAAAAATAATGGACACGTATTTTTTCTTTGGGCAATCAACCAAAAAACGACAAAGTTATAGCGCGTCAAAGTAGGGAGTAGGGGCTCGTGACGTCACTTTTGAGTGAATTTTCACTTATAAGTGTACTCAAACGTGACGTCACGCGAATTTTTAAATCAATATATCTCTGCAATGCTTATATTAAGGAAAAAAAAAGAAAAGATAAGTGTCCAATACTTTTTGATAATCTACCCGATAAACGAAGAAAAAAAATTAGTCATCTTCCCTATTGAGAAAAGTCTATCGATACTCAATAGTATTGCAGCATTGAAATAAAATAAAAGTATAGTAGGCAAAGAGCATATTTTAAGACCACTTGGAAAAAAATGGTTTATATTACTTTATATCGCACAATAATTAACGGGTTGTCACAATTCGTAACGATTCCTTTTAGTTGAGGCATTTTGAGTAAGTACCTACACAATAAATATTGCCATTATGAGTAATAAATATCATTGAAATTATTACATAAAAACGCCGAGACAGAAGGTTTGTGGAAAGTTAACCATCTGTATTATCAATATTTTTATTATCTTATCGCAAAATAATCATGTTATATCCGTGCAACTAGAACGCATTACTACTGTATACTTATATATTTATTAATTCATTTTACCGTCAAGTGGAAAATAACAGCGTAGCGGAACTTTAATTCGAATTTCTGCAATCAGCGCGCAATGGTAATGAAAGTGTTGCAAACACGAAACTTTTAGCTCACGGGAGCAAAAAGTCAGTAAGTTCGCATTTTATTTTACCACAAACACCTGAACGTACAAACAGCAAAAAAACTGGATGCACTGCCTGGATGTGGAGATGAAAAGTTAAAATACATCCTACTAACCTATCCTACTAATATTATATTGTTTGTATGGATGTTTGTTATTCTTTCACGCAACAACTACTGAACGGATTTCGATGAAATTTGGTACGCATATAGTTTATGACCAGGATTGAGAAAAAAAGTAGGCGCTTGTGATGCACAGAAAAAAACTAAAAAGTTAAGTTATGACGGAGGAAGTCGCGAGGGGCCGCTAGTTGTAATAATAATTAAACATAAATCATTACCATCAATTATCAAATGATTAATATTTTATGATCAGACTGTATTCAGGTATGAACTTGATTAACACCAGCCAATGATAGCCGTTGAGAATTAAATTTTCATTTTTCTCCTTATGGGGAAAGGCCTCATCAGAGATAATCGTTCGGATATTATGTATATTCTGGCATAATTATCTTAACCTCAAACTAAATTCGACAGGTGTAAGAACCTGTATCCTTCTCATCAGAATGAATGAAATCTCTCTATCTATACAGAATGAGAAACTTGACAAATTTCATTCACGTCGGAATTTGGCCAAATTTATTTCAAATACTATGAACTTCATATATTGACGGACGGTATTATTAGAAACTCGCTTATTAATTATTTTATTTGAAATAGAGACAGAGTCAGAATTAAAACGTACGAGCGACGGGCGATCATCGAGTGGGCGGGTCCGAGCGCCACCATTGGCAAACAGGTCATTCACAACTCATTTTGTTTTAATTAATTTACAAAATTATTGTCCACTTGCACCACAGCTCTTAAATGAAACCAAAAACATTATCATGTTTAATTAAGCTCATCCATCTCTTTTGAAGTCAAAGCGTTGACAAGGATGTAATGAGGGTAGTTATACACATAATCATTAATGGCAAGGCATTAAATCGGCAGAGTAATCGGCTGGCGGTAAAATCAAACATATTTAGATAATTGTTCGGTACAACAAGTGCAGTAAATTGCACATGTAAATTGTAAATGCATGTATTTGCGGTGTCTAGCAAGGTGGATTTACACTTTTGAACTCAATTGCAATAAAGAACAAATAGTCTTCTTTCTCGTGGTCTTAATTGTGACATAAACTAAACACCAGTATTTTTGAACAAATCTTAAGTTCTAAATGGGACCGTCCAAGATAAAGGTACGCAATACTTATTAAAAGTTTTAGCTTGACTTGACGGAGCAAGAACGAAGTAAATTATGACTAAAAAGCTAAAAAATCCATGGAAACACTTTTTTTTTATCTACTGTGAGCCGCACGAAGAGTATGAACTACGCTTCTCTGTAATCCCGCCAGTCCAGCGGGATTCTGCAAAATTTATAGAGCATTACTACGACGACTAATCTAGTCCCGCAAAATATATGCGCGATCACGGTATTGCGTTCATCGGGGCCAACTACCTTGCCAACCTGAGTCTAATCCGATGCACTAGTATGATGTAAATAACAGCAAAAAAACGGTTATTTTATTAAATGGGTTATTTTACGGAGTTCTGTATGTGTAAAGTTAAGGTCAATTCTCAGGTGGGTTTCGAATTCGATCGGAAAATCCACCATGTTACCAGTCTTTACATAGTTTTTCATTTGATACACTCTCATCACAAAACCTAAGATATTCGATGACGCAGTTGTTAACGCGTTCTATCGTCGATTGTGAAAATTAACACAGGTTTAAATTTAGAACCACTTTTCCATCGAGCCTGTCTGCCTGAGTCTTTGAGTTGTAGTTATTCCCAATACGTTCCCAATGAAGTTCTAATCCCAACTCGGACGAAGTCACGCGAAATATTTAGTTAATTTATATTAATATAGTAGGTGCCCGCGACTTCGTCTAAAAATTTGGTTTCCCATACAAACTTTCACCCAACCCCCTTTTCACCCCCTTAAAGGATGATTTCTAGAATAAAAACTATCTTGTGTCCTTTCTCGGTTCTTAATCTGTACAGTGGTTTAAGCGTGAAGAGGTTACGGAAAGACAGACATATACACTTTCGCATTTGTAATATTAGTATGGATGATAGTAGCAGTACACAATGACTACCTACTGATTGAATGAATTCGTTCTTGATAGTTCAAGAGGAGAATAAAAATAAAACCTATAAATAAAAATTACTGATAGGTTACCAATTTACACGGCTTTATCGAACTAGGTCAATGAAGACAGTGTCATTTTTTGTTTAGCTATTTGTGACAGTGGAATCATTGAACAATACATCTCATGCAAACCACTCACTGAAAAATATTATAACGAATCTAATCTTATTTAAAAAAATGATTGGGTTTGTCTGTTACAATCGTTATATAGATGACAATCCATTATTATAAAGACACTGTAAAAACGATTATTTTTATATATTATAAAAAATAACTAACAATATTTAAAAATGATTGTGTATAAACTTGTGAATTTGTTTCGCCTATTTCATCTTCACGAGTTAACAGAATGTCCCTAAAAGGTGGTAGGTAAAAAAATGAACTTTAATATTTTAAGGTGAATATGTGTGTTTTTAATTTATAATTACTTCTTTATAATAATAATAAACAATAAAACTTCATACTAATATTATAATGCCTAAGTAACTCTGTTTTTTACACTTTCACATCTGAAATATTCTGAAAAATAACAGATTTAATTTAAAGAAAGAATCATACTGGCTATGGCCAATAACCCTATTGGCCATAGCCAGTATGATTGGAAAAGATAACCACCACTATGTTTGGAAAAGATAAGTTATTAAAATGAGGCTGCAGATAGACGACGCGAAAAAATTCTTGCGGCGTCCACTCCTCGATCACACGGCGGTAGCGCGATCGCTGCGCAGTTAGTTACTCACAAAGAATTTCAACGTTAGGTCCTAGTTAATAAAACATAAATCAGCTATGACTGAACAGTTATTACGCGGCCACAGCGCGGTGACCGCGCGGCCGCCGTTCTGTCGCCGTACTGTCACCGCGCGACACGCCACGCTGTCACAGCGGTGACACTCTGTGTACGTGAGAGTTCCAGCGTCAGTGACCTTGAGCAGGAGCGTGTATGCGCTAGGGTTGAACTTGGAATTTAGACTTGTGCCAATGAATATTTATGCATAGTAAGTTATTAAATGTAAACTGATTCAAGGATACTGGGGTAAATAATGAAGGATAGGTTTGATTTTATAATCAATTTTTAATCTTTTAATGTAGGTACTATAACAAATTGCTAACTTTTATATATTTTCTCCTTTTTCGATTCGTTTTATAATTCTTATTATTATCTAAATAATAATAAGATTGCGTAGCGTAGTCAGTCTGTGCGTGCAATGCAGTGCAACGCTATTATTTTACTATTTCGCTACTGCCATCCCTTCGGTCGAGGCAGTCGGCGACTGCCCTCTCCACGCCCCGCGCGCCGCGCAACGCCCCCGCACACCCCCAGACACCCACACATAGCCGCGGGCGATTTTACGAGCACACATGCTTAAGTGTCGCTTCTTTTCGCGTAGTGTATATATTCTGTGACGCTGTGACATTCTATGTCATATAAACGCGCCCTGAGTATATAGTCTGAAGGATTGCAGTGTTAAAAAAATGTTTTTCTTACCTGCCGTCCAACTGGTGAGGTCCATTCTGCAGAACTACGCTCACTAACGTGGCATCAGCAAATGTCACAAAGCCGAAGCCCCTGGAGCGACCCGATTCGCTATTCTTCATCACCACGCAGTCGATAACTTCCCCGTAGCGCGAAAAGTAGCGCTGCAGATTCTCCTGTGACGTCTCCCATGACAAGCCACCAACGAACAGTTTTCTATGAGGATAAGAAAATTTATATTAGTAACCTAGAATAGTACTAATTCATTAAATACTTATAATTCAGGGTTTTCTATAGGGCACATATCAACAAATTTTATTTGTTAAGTGTCAATATGTGCTGTGAGCTGAATTACCTATCTCTTATTTATCAAACATGATTTACTGATCTTTACAAATGTATATTTTTATTTCTACCTTTGTAGTTGATCATAGCAAAATAAATAATTAAAGCTAATTTTATTGAAGCTCTTTCGAATTAAAGCCATGCATTGCTGTGGCACAGATTTTTAATAACCTGTTTATTTGACAAGACCTTTATAAACTTTATGTGGATAATATAAAACATAAAATTCTCATATCAGTGTTTGAAAAACTTCTCCAAAATGGCTTGACTGATTCCTATGAAATATTGTGTGTATATTCAGTAGTCTGATAATAGGACATAAACTGCTTTTCATACCCAGTGGTAAGGGGAGGGTTGCAAATTATCTAGATAATAATTTTCTCTGATATTAATCAGATAATTATCCAACTATCAAATCTAATAACATGTATAGGTATAAATGAAAGATTTTCTATTCTTAGACATTACTTTTACCCGAGAGTCTGAGACTACTTTTGTTAAAAAAAACTATTTATTTTGACATGTGTACAACTTTACTATTGTAATTTTTGTTATTACTTCAGTATGTAAAAACCGTGTGTGTAATGGCTGTATGGCCATATGTATCCTTTGCCCTATGAAATACGGACAAACAGAAAAGTACGACAATTGGTGGGAAAACTGAACTGGTGTTTACTCATTTATTATCTATTTTATATATGCACTTATTTCGCTTCCACATTGTTTGTAAGTTACTTTATAATGAGTTGGTGTTAATCTTGTTGATGTTAATAAATAAATAAATATATTTTTACTTATTTTGTATGAACCAACCTCTAGGCTGTATGGTTGTAACCTTTGCCCTATGAAAAACAGACTAACAAAAAATACGACGATTGGTGAGAAAACAAAACAACTGGGGATTTCCGATTTATTTTTCTAAAGATTTTTTATAAAGTTGTTTGAAAGTATGACACTGACGCCCTTTTACCCCTAGCCCTAATAAAAAATCGTGTTCCTTACAATAAATTTAGCATTTTTTTTTCAATGAATATCATTTATTACACATTAAGCGAGCATTTACCACCAAACAGCCAAAATGAACAAAAAGTGACCTTGGGCCTTATACATAGGACCCATCAATATTCCTATCACTATCGCCAACTCAGGGTATTTTACCCTAGATTTAAAGTAAAATCAAACTGCTAGGGGAAATTTGAGGCTATAAAAATGTTTAGGGTAATTTTTATAATTACCAGAACAATGGGGAATTCTGAAATGTTATTGTAAACTATGTTTTGAAGAAATTTTACTCACTTCCAACTTGATGTAAATTTATGTACCTTTGAATATCTGGATTGACTAGACCAAAAAGAACAGTAAAATTTTTCACAAAATCTAGGGTAAACTGAGACTGTGTAAAGAGTGAAATGAAATTGAAACCTGGCAACACTGGCTCCCTGGCAACCATTCTCACTACAGGAATACAACATCACAGAGTAATGTGTTTTGGCATAAATATTTTAATCTATAACAATCATTTTCACCACATGAGAAGCTAGAGGGGGAGACATTATGGGGCAATGCGCTAGGTACCTCAAAATAAGTCGAAAGGCGGCATGCTAATGCCCTATATTTAAAACTCAAGATATATAGGTCAAGGTGTACATTTCAATAATAAGATTCCTAATGATAGTCTTGATTTGCCTCTTCATTTAAAATACACATTACGAATTGCTTACTTAAGAAAGGATATATGCTGTAAATCAATATTTGAATGATAAAACTGCCTGGTTGTAATTTTACCTGTAGATAATTTTTCAAAATTATATTAAAACTGGGGGCCTTAGAAAGAGTTTTGAAGAGAACCTTGCACTTACTCCTTTTTATACACTTGTTCAATTTGTTTTGAAGATTGTTTCTTGCTATTTTCGGACGTTTTTTAAACACTTATTGTTAGTAAATTCGTTGATTGTCTATTGTTACATATTTGACATTATATGATGGAAGTTGACCTCAACACATGTTTTTAAGTTTGATGTCAACTTTCAATTGAATAACACTGTATGAAAAAAAACAGGGAGAAAAAAATAGCCCTTGCTGATTTTCTTGCCGGTTCTTCTCAGTACAAGGTGTCCTGCTATAGATTTGCAAACCGGTGGCGTAGCTTTTCGACATTTACAAGTGCTTACTTGTAACATCCTAGACTGAATAAGTGATATTGTTATTTTTTCTGATTTTTTTTTTACCACTGCCTTATCTTAAAATACAACCCTGGCTATGCCCCTGGAGAAGACTGAGTGCAAAAACAAAATTAGCAATACCATATATTACCAAACAATGTTACAAGTATGTAATAGTTATATTTTTTTTTAAGCATGTAACTGCTTGATGTTTAAATCTAAAGAAAATATAACTAGAAAAATTATGAGTATGTAATACTTTAATTTTAAAACTGAAAGAAAAATGAAAAAAAATCACAAGTTCCTTATAAACAATACACAATGTTGCATCACCTTTTAGGTATTCTACTTGAAGGGATAATCTTTTATGACAATTATACAGAACTAGTATGTACAGATAGACAGCTAGAAGCCAGGCTACCCAAAACTGACAAAATGTTTGACTACTGATTTAGAGTTTATGTAGGTAGTTAAAACTGGTGCAATGGTGCAATGGTTGTTCTTTAACAAACATTGATCTTTTGTTGAAGTGTGGATTCATTCAATTACACATACATCTGATGTTATTTGTGTTACCTATTTATCCTGTTTAGATTGACACCCGAATAAAAATTAATTCCACCATTTTTCATTTCTTCTATCATTAAAGTCTTTCTCCACTAAAGTACATTGAAAATAGTTTACATTTTGGTTAAAATCTTTGACTTGTGAATGTGTTGTAGTTGTGATTACATTAACATTCTTTTCTAAATAAACAGCTTCAGAATGGTGTGTATATAATTAGAATTAACATACAATACCACTTAAACATTTGTTTTCAAAATTAAAATAAAATCTAAAATAGTTAACTGAAAGTTTATATTAAAGATAAATAATGTTTACCAAATTATACACTGATTTCTTTACCAACATCCTAAGAAAGAAACCAAATGAATACCAAAATTAAAATGTATTTATAGTTCTAATAATGATAATATTGATAAATGAGCTACTATAAATAATGTCAATTCATTTGCAAAAAATAAAAACCAGTATTCCTTAAACAATTTAGCTATAATGAGTTAACATTATTGAATACTTAAGTGATCTATCTAGGCCAAATGTAGTATGGTATTTATTGTCAGCACATGATATTTTCGCCCTCTTGGACCAGCATTCAATAAATACCACATGGTGATATGGCTTGCTTACCAAGTACAATTACTCAAAACACAAGTGAAAGTTACATTCACTTTAGGTAAAATTTGAGTCATGTTGGCCATAGTACAGTTAGATATAACCTCCTTGTAAATACAATAATTATAGAATTTTAAATGGAAGAACCATTTTGAAAGAAAGGATAAAATAACATGAATCAATAATTTAATACTTTATAAGAGCCTGCCAACCCTAAATCATACATAACCTATAAGTTGATAAAACAATGCAAAATAACAATAAATTTATTGACAAAGCATTATAATAATTTGAATCCTACAAAGATTATTTCGTGTTAACCATGATGGTATAAAATGGAGAGCTCGTTTACAGTTGAAATTAAAAGGTTATAACCGACGCCGTGGCAAAGCCGCCTAAGTAACCTTATGCTAATGAATCAGCACGTTTTCAGCGGCTCTTGCAAATGAGATCGAGCAACGCGGCACAACGACCATCGTTCTAATAACCTCATTAGGCAACATTCTTTTATTTAACATTACCTATATTTCGGGTGTAAAAATTGCGACTTAGTCCTAATGTGAATTCCACGATAAGAGAAAGCTACAATTAGTCACAGAAAGGTTAATTTTATTTGCTACGATGTTTCCACATCGCTGATTTAGATTTTGATCCAGTTATATAAACTTTACCATGTAATCAAATACAGAGCATCGACTAAACAGTTTTGGCGAATTCATGATGGGAAAGTGATAGCTGCCATGATCGCTACGCAAGTCGTACGGAAAGGCTTGGGGTCGGTGGCCGCTAGCCGGTAAGAGGCCAATTGAACGAACACGGACTTAGCCAAAGTCATACACTCTATGAAGACTGGGATTAGTAACGACAAAGTAGCATACACGTTAAGAACATCTGCAGATCAGGATGTTACGCTACAATATAAGCCCCGCTGGCTGGTCATGAAATGCGACACACCAAGCGAACATGCAGTTTGACCTATTATAGGTGGCACATTACCTAGCGATAATCTACAAAATAATACATAAAATATACGTACCCCTTCTCATCATCATCCATGTCTGGATTCATACGCATAACTTATTACTAATTAAAAATAATTATTGGCACCGGTAAGAAACCTAAACCACACAAGCACAGACCCACACGAACGATTATGGCGGACCAACCACTTCCGCTTTCAAAAAGTGTACTAGTAAGCGGAAGTTATCAATTGCTTTTATTAATACTATTTAATACGGTTATCATTTCTTAATTACAATTTTAATTAAATGAAAATCAATAAACAATTAAAATATTGTTACATTATTTAAAATAATTATTATTGAGGAACGTTTAACTAGCGCAACCTAATAAAAGACACTGAGCTGACATTCGAATTTTTTTAAAGCCTACAATGATCATAACTAGATGACGCTTTGCCAAAAACGTAATGTTGCTAGTAATAAAATTTCAATTTTATCAGCGTGGATTTTTTTCGAGTAATTGTTTCTTTCGATTGAAATATCTTGCAGTTGAATGCATACATGCATACATAAAATAAAATAGAAATATAAATAAAATTACACTCAATTTTAGATATGGATATAATTTTTAGTAATATAATCACAGACATATAATACTATAGCAGACGGAACATAAAACCTAGTTATATTTATGAATCAAAGCATGATCTTTTATCCTTTTTGTACTCAGCTACAACTCGATAGTGGCATCTCATTCTTCCATCTATTGCAATACTGACTCACACATCAACAAATGTCAACGCGTGTCATTTTTATTCCTCGCCGCCATTTTATACATGACTTATCGGACATGCGACTTTTCGGTGTTTATTAAGAATATAGCTTTGATGAAACTATATTACAAAACGAGATTATTCAATTACTATGGTGAAGTACAGTGCGTATCGATGTGAAAGTGCTACCTACAATAGAACACCAGGATTACCTTTCATCAGTAAGTTTTTATGTGTCTTTGTTGTGTACTGAAAAGTCTTTGAGTCTTTTCGAAGTTTATTTAAATATTATCGTAACATGTAACATTTTTTACGTAGGATTAATTATCTAAGATACTACCGGTGAAAACTAATATCCTAAAAGTAAAGAAATAGAAGTAATCAGGATAAATCATGATAGGAAATTCCAATTCTGACAACTGAAGTACTGTTGCCATAACAGAGGACGGACTCGGTATGAAAGACAAAAAGTTTCTCGGCATTAATTTTGTTTTCATTGCATTGTATTTTGAATGTGAATGCAATCGAGAACGTAAATAAATAGGTACCTATTATAGACTAGCTATTCATATTTCTTGGAACATTGGCATCGGTAGGTATATAACCCAAATAACCACATAAACAATTTTGTTCTAGGTTTTCAAAGGATGAAAGTACTTGGAATGCATGGTTCAAATATATGAAACGTCAGGATTGGCAACCAACTTAGTTTTTTAAGTGTTTTTTGTTTTAAAATAAACTAAAGTAATGATTTTTAATAGTTTGATTAAATTCATATGTGATTATGTCGATTATTCAATATTTGACTCGAACAATCAGATCATGACATAAACCATGTCCACTTGCTTATGAAAGTTGTTGTCAAATTTTATTTTATCTTAGATGTAAACATCAATGTAAAGAAACAAATGTATCTCAGAGAATTTTTTTAAAAATCTTGTATTATTTCAAAATAAATAAATAAAAACTATGCCTTAAATTTTTATTTCAATTTTCCTAATTGTACCTATGTCCTTTCTATCTCCGTGCTCAATTTCATCATTATCGGTTCAGCGATTTCGCCTGGCTAAATTCGCAATTTACGTTTATAATATTATTAGCATGGACGTCACATTAGGATCTATCTATTCGGATAGGTATTTAATGAAACAATAATGAAATCCATTATTCTACTATACTAAATGCGGCCCATGCTTTGGTGAGTTTCAATGTGTGTGTATTTGCCACGCTGTTTAAATTTGAATGTTCCGTCTGCTACTAGTTATATGTCTGTGAATATAATCGATTATTCAATTTGTTCTAAGGCCCCCTACATACTGTGTACCGTTATTATAACAGTCTATAAATCTTTAATATCTAGCATAATTAAATGTAGGACTTTACAAGCGAAATAAAACAAACACAAAAAAAAAATGGTTGCCTGTAAAGTCGGTTTTACGGGCGAAGATTTTACGTGACAACGTCTTTTTCTCGGTAGAATATTTATTGATATGAATATAATTAAATTGCACAATAGGAACAAGGAATTGAATGAAAATATATATATATATATATTTGTTTACAATATGTACATGTTTCGACTTTTGGGCGGTACGAAGTTCGCCGGGTCGACCGGAAGATAGAGAGAGATATTGGTGTCGATTCTGGCATGATTCTCTAAACCTAAACTTAAATTTGACAACAGTGGTATCGATTCTGGCGTGATTCTATAAACTTAAAAATAAATTTAACATCAATCTCTCCTTTTAATTCTGTATAGAGAATGATAAGGATACACTGTTGTCAAATTTAAGTTTAGATTTAGAGAATCGTGCTAGAATCGACACCAGTGTATCCTTGTCATTCTCTTTACAGAATCAAAAGGACAGACTGATATTAAATTTAGTTTTAAGTTTAGAGAATCATGCCAGAATCAAAGCCATTATAATTAAATGTTTTAAACGTGAAATTATTACCAGAAGCAGTAAATATAATTCATCATCATCATCATCATCAGCCGAAAGACGTCCACTGTTGGACATAGGCCTCCCCCATGGATTTCCACAACGATCGGTCCCATGCTGCCCGCATCCAGCGGCTTCCCGCGACCTTTACCAGATCGTCGGTCCACCTTGTGGGGGGCCTGCCAACACTGCGTTTCCCGGTACGCGGTCGCCACTCGAGGACCTTTCCGCCCCAGCGACCATCGGTCCTGCGAGCAATGTGCCCTGCCCATTGCCACTTAAGGTTTGCAATTCTGTGGGCTATGTCGGTGACTTTAGTTCTCTTGCGTATCTCCTCATTTCTGATTCGATCACGCAGAGAAACTCCGAGCATAGCCCTCTCCATTGCCCTTTGGGTGACTTTGAGCCTTCTTACAAGACCCATTGTAAGCGGCCACGTCTCGGTTCCGTATGTCATCACTGGCAACACGCACGAATTGAAGACTTTCGTCTTGAGGCACTGCGGTAGATGTTCCGAGAAGATGCTACGTAGCTTCCCGAACGCTGCCCAGCCGAGTTGGATTCGTCGATTAACCTCTTTCTGGAAGTTGGACTTACCCAGTTGGACTATTTGTCCCAGGTATACGTACTGGTCAACAACTTCCAGTGTAGAGCTCCCAACAGTCACCGGAGTGGGTACGACATGGGAATTCGACATGATTTTCGTCTTGTCCATGTTCATTTTGAGACCCACTTGTTGGGACACCCTACTGAGGTCGCCGAGCATTGTGCCAAGGTCATCCATGGTCTCAGCCATGACTACGATATCATCTGCAAATCGAAGGTGCGTCATGTACTCGCCGTTTATGTTGATGCCAAGTCCGCTCCAGTCCAAAAGTTTGAAAACGTCTTCCAGCGCAGCTGTAAACAGTTTCGGTGATATAACGTCACCCTGTCTTACACCACGCTGCAGCTGGATTGGCTTCGTGTTTTGGTCCTGGAGTCGAACTGACATAGTGGCGTTTTCATACAACGACTGCAACACTTCGATGTATCGATAGTCTATTTGGCACCTTTGGAGTGACCGAAGCACGGCCCATGTCTCGATCGAATCGAAGGCTTTCTCGTAGTCCACAAACGCCAAGCATAATGGCAGGTTATACTCTTCGGTCTTCTGTATAACCTGCCGCAGCGTATGGATGTGGTCTACGGTACTAAACCCTTTTCGGAATCCGGCTTGTTCGGGAGGCTGGAAGTCGTCAAACCTGCGCGCGAGACGATTCGTGAGGACTCTCGAAAACAGCTTGTATACATGACTCAGGAGCGTGATGGGTCTGTAATTCTTCAACTGGGCCCTGTCGCCCTTCTTGAAGAAAAGCGCCACCACTCCCCTATGCCATGCGCTAGGCGTTCTGCCCTCGAGTATGACAGAGTTAAATAGCTTCTGAAGAGATTTCAAGACTGGTCGTCCACCTGCTTTCAGAAGCTCGGCTGTAACTCCGTCATCACCCGGCGCCTTATTGTTTTTGAGCTGTTTCAGAGCTACACTAATCTCGTACAGGCTGACGTCCGGGATATCTTCGGTGTAGTGTCGGGTTAATTTGGCTCTTGGGTCGGTCGCCTTTGTGACAGGTACTCGTGATGTCGCGTATAGCTGTCCGTAGAAGCTTTCAATCTCAGCCATAAGCTCAGGTTGCGACGAAATAATTCTGCCGTCCTCTGTCTTCAGCTTCGTCAGCAAACTCTGTCCAAGAGACAGATTTCTTGCGAACACTTTCGAGCCTTTGTTCCGCTCGATGGCCTCTTTAATACGATCAGTATTAAAGCGGCGTATGTCGCGAGTCAGAGACTTCGAAATCTGCCTATTGAGCTGCCGACGTGCATCTTCAGAGGACTGCAGACCCATCTCACGCCTTTTCTCCATGAGCTTGAGAGTCGGCTCCGAGATCTTGCTGCGTTTTTTGGTACGGATGGGCTTGCAGAACTTCGAGCCCACCGTAAGGACAGCTTCAACAAACCTGTCATTATAATTGTCCACGTCTACGCAGCTCTCTAGGCAATCGAAGCGATTTTGCAGTTCGAGTTGAAAGCGCTCGGGGTTTTGGATCCGGATGGCTTCAGGACGGAGCGTGGACTTCATCAGTCGATTCCTTTCGGCTTTGACATTTAGATTCAATGTGCCTCTTACCATTCGGTGATCGCTTCCCGTATTGAACGAATTGATCACTGAGACATCATTGAATATCCGAGTCTTAGTCGACATGATGAAGTCAATCTCATTTTTTGTCACGCCATCCGGACTTTTCCAGGTCCATTTTCGATGCAGCCGTTTTCTGAAGAAGGAGTTCATCATAAAGAGTCCCTCCTTCTCCATGTAATCGGCTAGCATTTGACCTCGGAAGTTCCGGATTCCAACTCCAAATTGCCCCACTTTCAACTCATCATCGCCACGTTTGCCCAGCCTTGCGTTGAAGTCCCCCATGACAACGGTGTAATGGGTCCTGGAAGCATGCATTGCCCGAGAAATATCCTCATACATGACTTCCACTTCCTCGTCGGGGTGCGTCGAGGTCGGAGCGTATACCTGTATGACCTTCAACGAATACCGTTTGGTGAT